TGATCTGCCCACCTCAGTCTCCTAAGGTGCTGGGATTACAGGCATGAGCCACAGAAAATGTTTTTTAAATTACAGCTGGTACACACCTGTAAGTCCCAGCTACTTCAGAGTCCTAGGCAGGAGGATTACTCAAGCCCAGGAGGTCGAGGCTACAGTGAGCCATGTTCACACCACCGCACTCCATCCTGAGTGACAGAGTGAGACCCTCTGTCAAAACAAACAAAGACCTCAATGGGTCTCCATTGCATATGCAGTCACCCATGTAGCCAAGATCTAGAGAAATGTTGTCTTTCACAAATGCAGATGTACAAAAAGGACATCTCTTCATTTATTGAGGAAGTTTCAATGTTTTTTATGTACACACACAATGCTTACATACAAATGAACATTGGGAGGCTGGGTGTGGTGGCCCATTCCTGTAATCCCAGCACTGTAGGAGGCTGAGGTGGCAGGAGGAGGGGGGCAGATTACTTAAGTTCAGTGGTTTGAGACAAGCCTGACCAACGTGGAGAAACCCCATCTCTACTAAACATACAGAAATGAGCTACACATGGTGGCAGGTGCCTGTAATCCCAGCTACGCAGGAGGCTGAGGCAGGAGTCGCTTCAACCCAGGAGGGGGAGGTTGCAGTGAGCCTAGATCTTGCCACTGTACTCCAGCCTGGGTGACAGAGTGAGACTCCCTCTCAAAAAACAAACAAAGCTAACATTGTGATAATGCACTTTTGAGGAGTCACATTTGTGATGTTCAAGGCAGTGGGGGGAACATGTGCCCCAGCTCTAGGAGAGACTGGTCTGCCTTCTGGATTTGATCTGTCTGGGTCCCTGGCTGATAGATGATGCCTGCCAACTTGGGGCAGATCTCCCTAGTCCACTCAAACTCACACAGTCGTCTCCTCAGGAAATACCCTCCAAGACACACCCCAAATCACCTTTTACCAGGTATCCACGTGTCCTTTCATTCAGTCAACATGACACCTACAATTTTGGGGGGTATTTTTGGAAAGGGTCTCGCTTTGTTACCCAGGCTGGACTGCAGTGGCTGGAACACACCTCACTGCAGCCTCAACCACCCATGCTCAAGTGATCCTCCTGTCTCAGCCTCCAGAGTAGCTGGGATTACAGGTATGCACCACCACACCCAGCTAATTTTTGTAGAGGCGGGGTTTCACCAAGTTGACCAGGCTGGTTGTGAACTTTTGGACTCAAGCAATCTGCCTGCCTTGGCTTCCCAAAGTTCTGGGATTTTAGGATTTCAGGTGTGAGGCACCTTGCCTGACTGACAACTAAAATTAAGTCCCCAAGCCCATCTGTTGTCAACAATCCACCCTTCTCTATCTCCTTACCCCATGCTTAATTTATAAATAAATAACAAGGTAATCGTTCACCTGTCATGATTCAACTAACATGATGCAACTCTCTGGCGTACGACCGAAAATACACTCAACCCTTCCCCAGAATTCATCTCTCAGGATTTCAACATTACGGATTCAAATTTTGGGGGATTGCAATTTTTGAGATTTTAGATGAGATCTTTCGGGATTTAACCTATTTTACAACTGAGCACACTGAGCCACAGGGAGGGGATGTGAACTGCCCAAGGTCTCACAGGTGGTGAGGGTTTGTAGCTGGAACTTGAACCAGGGTCTACCTTGGAAGGAGATTTCACACTGAGCCTCCTCCTGAAAAGCCTGCTCTCTGGGGTTTGAAGGAAATTCATGGTCAGTAAACTGTGCCTCAGGAAATTGTTCCTCTAATGCATCAATCAGGATAAACAAGGTTATGATGCAATAACAAGCAGCCTCCATTGTCTCCGTTTTCTGTTTGGTTTTTGTTTTTTAGAGATGGAGTCTCGCTCTGTCACCCAGGCTGGAGTGCAGTGGCGTGACATTGGCTCACTGCAACCTCCACCTCCTGGTTCAAGTAAGTTTCCTGCCTCAGTCTCCTGAGTAGCTGGGATTACAGGCACACCTCACCACACCCAGGTAATTTTTGTATTTTTAGTAGAGGGAGAGTTTCATCATGTTAGCCAGGCTGGTCTTGAACTCTTGGTCTCAAATGATCCTCCAGCCTTGGCCTCCCAAAGTGCTGGGATTATAGGCATAAGCCACTGCCCCTGGCACAACCCCCAATCTCAATGGCTTACAACAAAGTTTGGTTTCTGTCCCACACAACATATCCACAGCAGCCTAACGGATTCATCTGCATTGGAAACATCAAAAGTCCCGTGGCAAAAAGAAAAGAGACACGCGGCCACTTGCTGACTCTGAAAGTTTCTGGTAAAAAGTGACACAGGTGGCCAGGCACAGTGGCTCACACCTGTAATCCCAGCACTTTGGGAGGCTGAGGCCTGAAGAGCACCTGAGGTCAGGAGTTTGAGACCAGCCTGGCCAACATGGTGAAACCCTGTCTCTACTAAAAATACAAAAATTAGCCAGGCATGGTGGTGCACACCTGTAATCCCAGCTACTCAGGAGGGTGAGGCAGGAGAATTGCTTGAACTCTAGAGGTGGAGGTTTCAGTAAGCAAAGATAGTGCCACCACACTCCAGCCTAGGTGACAGAGCAAGACTCCGTCTCGGGAAAAAAAGAAAAGAAAGGAAAAAAAGAAAGAAGGAAGGAAGGGAAGGAGGGAGGGAGGGAGGGAGGAAAAGAAGAGGGAGAGAGAGGGAGGGAGGGAGGGAGGAACTACTTTATATGTTATTTGCTCTTCTCTTGCTGCTTTTAGGATCTCCTCTTTCTCCTTCATCTTTAAGAATTTATTATATGTCTTGGGGCAGTTTAATATGGATTGAATCTGTTTAGTGATCTTTGATGTTTCTGTGTCTGGATATTATATCTTTCTCTAGGTTTAGCAAGTTTTCTGTTATTTCTTTGAAGAAGCTTTCTTTATTATTTTTTTTAAATTTTTTAATAAAGATGGGGTTTCACCATGTTGGTCAAGCTGGTCTTGAACTCGCGACCTCAGGTGATCCACCTGCCTTGGCCTCCACAGTGCTTGGATTACAAGCATGGGCCACCATGCCCGGCCTGAAGAAGCTTTCTACTCTTTGCTCCTTCTCAACCCCTTGTTTAAGGCCAAGAATCTTTGATTTTCTCTTTTGAGGCACTATTCTAGATCTCTTAAACATTCTGTGTTCTTTCTTATTATTCTGACCATATTTTCAAATAGCTTGTTTTCATGCTAATTCTTTCTTCTGCTTCATCAGTTCTACTGAGACCCACTAATGCATTATCCAGCTCCAGGATTTGTTTGAGTTTGTTTGTTTTGTTTTGTTTTGTTTTGTTTTTTCTGTTACTTCAGTATCCCTGTTAAGTTTATCTGATATATTTCTGAATTATTTCTCTGTTTTCTTGAAGTTCACTGAGCTTTCTCGAAACAGTTATTCTGAATTCCCTGAGAGGTTACACATCTCCATCTTTCCAGGGTTGGTCATTGGTGCCTTATTTGGTCCATTTGATGAGGTAATATTGACGTAAATGTTCCTGATACTGTCGATGTTTGTCAGTATCTGGGCATTGAAGGATAAGATATTTATTCCGGCCTTTGTAGTCAGGTCTTGTTTGTACCTGTCCTTCAGAGGGCCTTCCAGGAATTCAAAGTGGGCTAATGAGTTCCCCAAGCCAGTGGTCACTACAGCCATTTTTGTACTACAGTGTACCCTAGGCCCAGTTACACTGCAATCCTTACAGATTTCTAGGTCCCCAGCCCTGTTGGGGGAATATCAGGGATTGTTCTCTGCGTTCCCAGGCAAAGCCCCTAGCTTACTTTCCTCTCTTTCCCCCAGGCAAAAGGAATCTCTCTCCAGACCACACTGCCTGGAGTATGGGGAGGGTTGATACAAGCATTCCCAGAGCTGCTGCAGCTGCTGCTGTCATACTGGCTCACACCCCAAGCCTAGGGTGTTCCAGACCTATGAGGCATCAGGGCTTACCCAAGGATGTGGTCACTATAGCCTGCCTGCTCCTGAAATTTATTTGAAGCCCAATACATTGCCAGTGATAAAGCCGGCCAGAACTTTGGTGGGTTCTTCCTGCTGGAGCAGCTGATGCCCTTGGTCTAAATGCTTCTTTTGTGGGCATCAGCCTGGAATCAAGTGCTGTAGGGTTCTGTCCAGTGCTGTGTTTCACCATGGTAAAAATGGTACTAAGTTTCAATATAAAGTCCCACACCTTCTTCCTTGTCCCCAAGCCATTAGATTCTCTCTCAAAGATGCATTTCCTGTGGTTGGGGGAGAGGTGTCAGAAGCAAAGCAATACTGTCCTTCCTCCCTTCTTCAATGCATCTTTTCTTGTTATTGTGCTAAAACCAGGTGCTCTGATCTCTCACCTGATTATTTAGCTGTGTGCAAGTGTTTTCTTGTATGAATAGTTGTTCAATTTGATGTTCCTTCAGGGAGACCATTGCTGGAGAGTTCTATTCTACCATCTTACTCCACCTCCTACCTGTTTTTATTTCTTAAATGTATCTAGTAAATAATTGTGAAGTGATAGGTTTATTTCAGTCCTGGGGATCAAAAGCATGTAGCTAAGAACTTTTCCCAAAAAATATTTTTAAAATTTTGTATCAGTGTTTATGGAATAACATGCTTTTTGATTCAAGATTCTTAAATTTATTTTTAATTTTGATTCAGTGTTATAGAACACTGTTTTTTGAAACTGATCTGCAGCCCACATATAATGGAATCACCTGCGGTGCTTATATTTTTAAAACGCAGATTCTAGGGCCCACACCAACTGAATCTCCTGGGATTTGGAGACCAAGAGGTAGCTCCTTATCATCTCCACAGCTACTTCTAAGGTACACCAAGTTTAAGAACCATTCTTTCATATTTTCAGACCGAAGATTCTTATAAAATGACAAAGAAAGAAGACCTTACACTTTTAAAGTTAGAGTTCAAGCATTAGACTATGTGCTTCTTAAACAGTTTATCTTTGCTATTTTCTCTTTCCAGTTCTTTATACTGTCAAGGGATTGGTGCAGAAATGGAAAACAAAGCAGTGAAAGAAAAACTATTTATTTCTTTATACACATTTTGCTTTAATAATCACCAAAAAGACTTTCATTTTCTCTTACCCACCCGGTCCACCAATTATATTGGCCTTCAACATATGGTGATAGCAACATATATAAATCTGTATCATACATTTATACACACAAACATATTCTATCTGCACTGTGAAGACACCGACTGGGCTTTACTATGGCTGGGGACCTCTCCCATGCCACTTAAAAATGAGCACACGTTTGCTCTATGCAAGAATTTCAGCAGAATTGGTCTGGCCATCAGTCCCCAGTTTCCCTGAGGTAAGAAAGGATGACAAAATGGGACAGTGTATTTGAAGTGAGGTCAGTCCAATTTGGATATCATAGAAGAAAAGAAATAGGATGTGCTAGCTTAAGCCTGAGATGGTATCTGGGAAGTCACCGCATTCATGATGTGAACGCAGATGCCACAGGGCAGACCAAAGCACAGCCTGACTCGACCCAGCAGGGTCAGGGGTGGATCTGTGAGCAGCGCTCACTGAGTCCCCACCAGTACTATCCAGCAGGGCACTGCTGCTCAGTATTGTGCTTTTAGAACCTGCCAGAGGAGCTCCGGCATTGGGACCACATGCTTCATTCATCAGAATTAGGGTCCTGTCTTCACTGAGTTTTCCATCTCAGGGCAGCTGACGAGGCAGGAGTGTGCTGTTGCTGGTTCCCACGCTGCTGGGGCTGTTGAGAAGCAGTCTCACAAAACCTTCCATGCAAACTACACATCCTTTGCTTCATGCTGGGCCAAGTGGGCCTTGGCTAACAGTATTCCATAGCTGTCAGAAAGGCTTTCTGCCTTTCTTCCCGCTCCACCAGGATGCACTTCTGACTCCCTCTTCTGGACCCTCCAGTGGACTTGGAGGAATGAGGCCCAGAGGCTCCTCAGCAGATAGGTAGCTGCACAAAACGGGGACAGGCCCACCCTTCCTGCTGTTTTAAGGACCTCGGGCGGCTGCGCTTCTTGCATGGTTCCTGGAAGGCAAGGGTCACAAGGCTGGAGTGCACGGCAGAGCCCTTAGGGATTTCACCTGCAGACAAAAATAAAACAAACCAAACCAGTGGATATTGCCAGGCCCTGCTGATGGCTACCTGAAGCTGGAGTGAGAGCGATGTGGTGACTAAAGCCAGGAGTTTGGTGAGAGCCAGGTAAGAGGATGAGCTAAGAGCATGCGCTGCAGTCTGGAGGAACAGCAGGTGCCCCAGGTTAAGGGAGCCTCCCCACCTCCCCGTGTGCTGAGATCCCTGCTCCAGTTCACTGCACACTGGGTGGCTGGATTCTACCATTCCTTCTTCAGGGGCCAGGTGACTCTCCAAATCCCTTTGTCTCAGCAGAAGAATGGCCTCTGCCATCTTCCCCCAAAAAAGAAGTGCTTAGCAGGAAACATGCACATACAGAAATAGCCTCTTGTAGGAAAAAGAGGACATTTTGCAGGGAAGTCCTCTGTTAAGTTGATGTCTAGTTGACATAATGAGGACATGGAGGGGTCAAGTCTATATGGACCTCAGAGCTCAGCTAAGGCCAGTCCCACCTTTGACAGGTGAGGGTGCAGCAGACTCACAGAGACCCAGGGACAAGCCAAAGCCACACACCAGTTAGTGACGAGCCAAATAATAGAACCGAGGCCTCGGGTCCTTTCCAATGACCTATGGGAGGTCAAGGGGAAAGCTCCCACGCTGGAAAAAGCCAGTGGATACTAAGGGAGATTTTGGGGTTACCTTTTCTGGGACAGGAATAAGGCTTTACAGAGGCAATCCTGTAAGTGTTGCTCTAAAAGAGGCTCAAGAAAGAAAGGAATTATCAGAGAAAAACAAAAGGGAATTAGTGAAAAAAAAAAGAGAGAGAGCAAGTTAAATCATGGCCCTAGTCATTTTCACACTATGGAGATCGAGATTTTCTCAGGTTACGATTTAGAAACATTTCCAGGAATATGCTCAATTGCTTATGGCAAAACTTTGAAGTCCAAGTGAAAAGGTTTCATTTCTGGTTTTTAAACCATTTCATAGACTTCACATTTTACTTTAAAGTACTTCCCAGGGAATGATTAACAGTGTTTTAAGTAAATGTAGATAATATCTAGTACATATATAACATTTCCCCCCTTAAACTCTGTTATTTATTATCAAATTCTCTTTCAGACTGATGAGACCCAACAGATCTCTTTAGTCATGTGACTTAAAGAAAACGATATATCAAATTCAAATTGCTGTTCTTAACCCAGTAGTGTGCAGTGAAATCAGTTTATTAGGATGCAAATTGCTTTTATTTTTTCATGAAGAATAGAACACAACTGGCCTCAAGACCCCACTACCTAAAGCTCATTCAGAGGCAGACCCCCGAATGTCTGCTGGCTTCAAGAGTCAGCTGAATTGGATTTCTCCAGTCTCCTGACTTAGCATCAAAGAAGAAATACTGGAGCAGAAAGGAGAGATGCCACCAGTGTGAGAGTGAACAAAGATGCAGGGCAGGAGCTGACTGGGGGGAGGGTGACGGGTGCTCACTGAGAACCTGGGATCTTGCAAGTAGACCCGAAATCTTCTCCCGGAAGGCCAAAGCAGGCCAAGGGCCACCTACAAGATCTGCTAACACATAGTGATGGGTTGGGGGCAAGCTCCGTGCCTCTGACTGGTGCAATAGTTTCCTTACCTCTAAGTTAGTTCTTGCCTTCTTCAAAACATCGTGTGTTCTGGTTACTGAAACAAGAGAGCACCACAGAGTAGAAATCACCCACAGAAATTACCCCTCCTTGCTTAGCATGAGAATTGTAAAGTGTTTCTTTCTGGCCATTAAGCTTGGAGTCTCCTGCTATCCACCCCCATCCTCCCCTCCTTCTGCATCCACAATTGCTCGTGGCACAGGAGGTTTGGGAACATCAAATCAGTCTCTCCAATCCCAACACCTCCAGGCCTCCCTGTTCATGCTCATCAGCAGCATGAGTGGGGCATCGGGAAGACCGCCCGTTTCGTCCCCCGTTCCTTCACTCAGGGAACCTACGCTGGCTGACGATGAACTGCTCCATGCTCTCCTTCTGCTGGTTTGCAGTCTTCAGACGCTCAGCTGTGCTCTGAAGGAGCCGCTCCTGTTTGAATACTTTGGTTCTCAGTTCCAGAAGTTCCCTTTCTGTTGATTCTCCCTGGATGACAGGAATAGATTCTTACTGAACAGGCAGAAGGCCTAAAGCACCCTGTGCTTTGTGGCTCTTTCCAGTTCAAAGAAAGATTCCAGAGTCTTCTCAGCTCTCCTGGACTGCATTTCCGCCTTCACAGCTGCGAATACCTCCAGCTGGGGAGGTTAGGGTGAGGCCATTAGGTAGGACTACTGAGACTCTGGAAGCTCCATGCAGACTAGCACAGGCCTACACATCTGGAGCTTAAGAAAACCTTACTTCAGGCTGGAATAAAACTCCCAACTCTGAAGAAGACCTTGACTTAGTCCTGCTGTCAATTCTGTCACTCTCCCTTCCTAAGATAGCGAGTTCAGAAATGTTATGTCAGGAGAGAGATCCGGACTCAGGAAAGTTGGCAAGTTTGTAAATATTTGTGTCAACATGAGGATGGCAAAACACCCTCTCCCTGGAATTAGCATAGTTAGATCCTGAAAGGTACTGGTGACACCGATCTGGAGATCCAATCCCTAAGGAGGGCATCCTGAAACCTGCCTGCCAGTCAGAGTTAGCCTGAGCTCTGAGCAGACCCTGAGGGGTGGCAGATCCACAGGCCTGGCCCACGAGATGCCAGCTTAAGTGATTTGCTGGGATACCAGGCAGTGGCTAAAAAGGCTCAGTCTCCTGGGGGCATTCTGTGATCATTTATTTGACCATGGGACCTGAGGGGTGGGAGATGGGTGCTGAAGCTTTAACTGAATTTCAATTCAGCCAAATGTCAGAGAGGTAAAGAAACTGAACATTTATGGATTGCCAGGGTTATGACATCTCCACCTTCTCCATACCCCTCCCTCATCTTCCTTCATTTTCTTATCCGGGGGCTGGGGGTTAGGGGCGATTGGGATATATTCAGAGCTGCAGTGAAAGCAGCCACCGTGGGACAGTGATGTCCCTCCAGGGACACTCCCCTAAGTTCCTGTCTATCCTGGCTCACTATGTGGCTCCTGATTTTCTGGAAAGCCGTGACACTGAGGAGACAGAATACTATTGGAGGGCAGGAGAGCTGGGTTTGAACCGAGAAAGGACACCAGCATCTTACCACTTTGCCAGGCAGTACAGGGGCGTGGGTACTCGGCAGGGCTGCTCTCCAGAACATGGTGAGGAGGGAGGCCGACTCCTCTAGGGCGTGGTGCAGGGCACTTGTGCGGCTCTGAAGCTCATGAACGCCTTTGCTGCCCAGCACCTGGGGAAAGGTAACCCCGCAGGAGCGATTACTTTTTTTCCCCTGCATGGGCTCAAGATTCCTTTATGAGTGAGGCACAGAACACAGGCCTGCCTGAACCTGCGAGGCCCTGGCACAACCGTTCGCTGCTCTTGGAACTAAGATGCTGCCCCCTGTACCTGGTATATGTTCCTCCACCTGCACAACCCACAAGTCTTCCAAAACTCATCCCCCTCATTCCTCTATGAACCTGTTACCTTCCCTGCCTGAGAGGAATGACCACATTCGCATTGGCGCACTTACGGCACAGAGAATCACTTCTCACACTGTGCCTGTAGCAGACTACTGTGCTCATCTACTTGGGTGTGTGTCTTGCCCTCTCGTGTGTCGGCTCCGTGGAGGCTGGGCTGTCCCTGCAGATCCAAGGGTCTCCAGCAGCTCAGACAGCACAGCCACCGGGCCCAGTCTCTCTCACTGGCAGGGTGCTCTGAGAAGCTTTGCTGCTTGCCTCCCCCTATGCAATCTGCAAAAGGCAATGCCACGGCTGCCAGGACTTCTCGACCCTTCCATGTGTGGGGTCCACACATCTGCGAATCCTTCCATTTCTGTGCAAAGCATTGAGTCCACTCCGCCCACAGATGGTCATGTGCCTGTGTGACTGTGGTAGTTAATAAGTTCCCAGAGGCTGCTCGGCCATGCCACGTGTGTCTGTGGGGCCAGGGGGAAATACCCAGTCAGCTACATCTGGAACACAGCAGAACGCACAGTGAAAATAGGAGAGAAAGAAGAAAGGGCCTGGCTGCTATACAGGGAAGAAAAAGCCTCAGCTGTTGAGAAATGCAAAGCATGAAAAAAAACAAAAATAGTGGGAGAAGGAGTGAAAGTCAAAGGAAGAAAGGGCACAAGAAAAGTGCGTCTGAAGCTACAGGTGTGATTACCTCTGGGCCTTGAGCTTCAAGGCCAGGGAAGCTGCATGCTGATCTCACAAGGGATGCTATCTTTTTGACCAGCAGCTTGCCCTCCACAATCTGCTGTTTCAGGGCAGTGTAGTCATCAATGTGGCCAATGACATGGCGGCCATGCTTATTGGCAAAGGAGCCATCAGTAGCATCACCCTCCAGCTTGGGAGGGGTCTTCATCCCTGGAGGAGTATTCAAACTCAAGCCTGAAAAAGAAAATGACAACGAAACAGAATCTTCTGTTATTAATAATGATATTCTCAGTTTGCTCCAACCCAAAAGAGTAGGGAACAAGAAAAAGAAGACGCTGGGAACAAGAAAGGAAGCCCTGGAATGTACAAGGGCAGGGCAGAGTCCACAGAGATCTTCTGGGTTTTATATTTTTATCATCTTTCTTAGAGCATCTCTTAATGATAAGTTTGCCAGGAGACAATTTTTTCCTCATTGGCAAATGAAATGGGACACATTTTATTAATGATAAATAATAAGGCTCCAGGTAGAGAAGACACAGACAAGGAAATCAAGCTGGATACAGAGAGCATGCTCGAGAATGGAGAGGTCACGGTGCAACGAAGCAAAAACAGAGCAGTAGGAAAACTACAGGAGGGTGAACAATGGCAAGAAAGGGGCCACAGAAGGTGCAATGAGTAGGGCTGAAGGCCTTGGGGCACGCAGAGAAAACTCTCTAAACACAGATAATAAGTATGTAGACAACAAAGGGGTGTTGGCATTAACCACTTTCCATCATCAGTCCCTGGGCCCTTTAGTGACCACATTTACCATTTGTTCTGTTGATTGTGGCCATTTCTGAGCCAGGAGTAGAGGAAGCAGAGCCAGGGAAGACCAGAGCTGGGGAATTCATACCAACATCCCGGACCGGAGGGGAAGCAGCTGAATCTAGGGGGAAAGGCAACCACAGTTTCCAGCAGCCCTGGAACACGCTGCACAGCAAGCACACGCATACCTGGCCGCACCCACCTGAGGACTCTGTTCTTACAGAATATCATCCATACCCCACAATCAAAAGCAAAAGCCGATGCGTCACTGAGTTCAGAATGTTTCCATTCTTCAGAACTAAAAGATATGCCTTTAATTGAGGCGTGTTCCATAAAAAAAGTGACTTCTATTTTAAAAAATTATTAGGTGTATTTTTATAAATGAAATCTTGAGTATAATTTGTGTATAGTATCTAATACAATGCCCTGTAACTAAATGTATTATGTATAAATATATATAGCACATATTAAAATGCAGAATCAAGGAATGAATGGATTCATGGGGGACTAAACATTCCAGTCATCATTCTGATGAGTTAATACTGTAAAAAGTTTACTTGTATGAGAATGGAGACAGAAGGCTTGGTGGGTTAACAGTGTCTTGCTGGAGACTAAAAAGCAACCCAAAGGTGGAGGAATTGGAAAATATCACAAAGAAGGTAGAAAAGGTTCTGCTCAGTCAAGTGTGGCCCCGTGCCTGCTTTCCAACTCGGGCCTTGGGGGTGCTAGAGGAAGAGGGGCAGAGACTGCGCCAGTGGGGCTGAGTCTTGGCTGCTGTGTGGGAAGCCAGGGAGAGGGGAAGGCCTGGTTGGAAGGAAGAGTTGGAGACGTAACTGAACACCACAACCATCAGGGCAGCCCAGAGGCGGGCAAGACCTCCAGCTAATGTAAGCTGAGCAGTTCCTGGAGGCCAGGCGGTATGCCTGCCAGCCCACGTGAGTTCTTTGAATTGCCAAAACAGTATAGTCATGTTATTGTCACCTTCAATTGACAAATAAGGTTACTGTCAGATAAATGAGCATCTACAAGAACCAGAGAAAAATAAAGATTAACATGACCCAGAAATAGCTAGCAGGAGAGTTTGAAAGCTCAGCTTTAGAGATACTGAAAAGAAGTGGTTCCTGATTTGAATAAAATTGAAGGCATGGCCATGAAGGTGAGTGGAGATGGTATACTAAATGGTGTATCAAAAGGAAAAAGGGACAGAGGAAGTAGAAATTGAATGAGTTAAGAGAGTAGGGGACACCATGAAGATTTAAATTAATACTGGGAGCAGTGAGCTTGATGGGAGATATTGAGAAGAGAAGGGGGACCTGGTCAAGCACATCTATCTGAAAAGGCAGGTGAGGGGTGGGGTCGAGAAAGTGAGTGATGGCCACCTGAAATAAATCACCCACCATCCAGGACTTCCCCGGAGCCCTCTTTCCTTAGGAAAAGGATTATTTTGCCACACACTGAGTTCCCCACCTATGAGGGAAGTGGGGACTAGAGAATCTGGGAAGGTCGGCAATACCGAGACAGGGCACAGGGAGCTGGAAGGAACATAGACTGAAAACCACAACACCTGGTTCGAATCCTAGCTTTGTCTGTAACCTCTGTAAACCCTTGTTTTTCTGTTAATATCTCGAGACTTAAGTTTTCTCATGTGAAATACAGAGATAACAAAACCTGTCTGTCTTCAGATGAAATTATATATGTGAAAATGCTTGGTTAATACCAAAGCACTAAGCGAATCCAAGGAAAAGGTGTGAACATATACAGCTCCTAATTATTGAGCCATTCTTAGTGTGCCAAGCACTTGTTAATGATTTCATTTAATGCTCAAAATCATATAAGATATATATTATTATTATCCCCATCTTAAATATGAAGAAACTAAGGCTTAAATCCCTCCGACTTTAAACACCTTGCCCAAAACAAATGACCTGTAAGTGGTAAACTCAGAATCTGGAGCCTGGTCTGACGTAAGTACCACGCTTTTGCTCAGGCTGCTAGACGAGAGCATCTCTGATTTCAACCTGACCCTGAGGAGCATAGGTGAGGCAGATTGCACCTTCCACCACAGACATCCTGGTGATCTCCCCACTGGCTTTCTAGGCTCCTTTTCCTTCCTACCTTGGAGGAGCTGCTGCTTGTTTCCAGGGTCAGCGCTGGCTGGGAAGTTCTGGTTAACGGTGGACGGGCTGAGACTGGCTTTGCCAGCACCGCTGTCCAGCTGCTGTTGCAGCTGCAGTCGCAGACAATTGTTCCCCTGAATGCTCTGCTCCAGCTGCCCTCTCAGAGCTTGTACCTCTGCCACCAGGTGGCTCAGGTCACTGCTCAAAGGGATTTGGTGGCAAGCATCCAGGCTGTAAGCTAAAAGAAGAGAGGAGTCTGGTAACATTTGCCCAAGTATTTCCAAGCACTTGTCACAACCCTCCTCTGTGACATTCTTTTCTGCCAAGGATCCCAGTTTAATCTGAGTCTTCTGCAACCCATCTATGATACAGATGTTGCCATTTCTGTGTGTGGCCTGGGGACACTGAGATGGCACACATCCAGTCTGAAATTTCCCTGGGGTTTAAGGACATGCACCGAGAGTATTTGATTGGCAGATGAGAATAAGTCCATATTTCATCTCCATGGTAACCTTAGTCCTGTAGGCTAAAGTATAGGATCCTCCAAGGCAGGTCAGCACTGAGCTAGAGAAGTGTAGGGGGTGAGAGAGAAAGAGATTTGACAGTCTTCACTCTCAAAAATAAAGGAGAAGGAAGAGGCCTTTTGGTAGCATGTGAGAATGTGAATTGGGTATCTTAGATCAGGGATTATAACTAAGTGAGTTTTTCAACTTCTTTCTCTCTCTCTTTCTCTCTGTCTGTCTGTCTGTCTGTCTCTCTCTCTTTCTCTCTCTCTCTCTCTATATATATATATGTGTGTGTGTATATATATATGTGTATTTATACACTTACATATAGTGTGTATATATGTGTGTATATATATTCACACTATGTATGTCCATATATCTGTACATATATACATACACACATGTGTACATATGTGCATCTACACATACACACACAGACACACACACACATATAAATATATTTACATATATATATTTACCTCCCTTCACCACAGGTAGTCTACTTCTTTGTACTGGGGAATAAGAGATCTAAGAAATATTCTACAAGGCCACAGTCCCTTATCTGAAAACCTTAAGGCCAAACGTATTTTGAAAGGTGAAATTTGTTTTAGCTTTCACAAGGCAGCAGGGTACATGTATCATATATAACATGTACCCAGTTGCATGTGAGCCACAGTTCTTAATCAAACATAAAACTATTTCTGCAGTGAGCTATGTGAATATTCTAAGTAGATAAATAAAGACATATGAATATCCTCTTGTCAGTTCATCTAGATTTTGCCATTAAATGTGTATTTGAAAATTTTAATTTGGAGATCTTATTGGATTTTGAAATTACAGGTAAGACATTATGGAGCTTTAGTGATTGTAGCTTTGAAATGAATCCTAAAAGACATGAAAGGGAAGGCAGCTCAGGATAAAGCACTTTCAGAGACTTTGGTATATAACCTACTCTTGAATTTTGCCCGCAGTTCTACGATGTTCCTCTCTCTCTTTCTCAATACAAGTTCTCACTAAATTTTGCTTATTTTGTAATTTAATCTATCTGTACCCTTTCGTCTTCCCAATAGCACCTTATATTCGACTCGCATCTCTTAATGTGCTAGAATATCACTAGACCCATCCAATAGGTTTCCCAGATTCTAATGTCTCCCAACTCCAAGGACATCCCCTGAGACTTGGCATCTTAAAGTTCTGTTTTCATCATGTGATTATTTTCTTTGAAAAAGAACAGACTTAGTTTCATTGGCTACTATGCAGAATGCAAACTTTCATTCTGACCTGTGGACTTTTCAGATTTGGTGACTCTGCTGCCCCATCCTGACATCTCAGTCTTCCCAACACTCAGCTTCTCTGTGGGCAGGCTGGTCCCACTGACCCAACACTCACCACGACTTTGTACTTAAGCTATTCTCCCAGCCTGGTGAGAGCTGCCTGCCCCTTGTATTTCTTCAAATTCCAGTTCACCTTCTCTTTAGAAAATTAGGAAACTAAGTCAGGATTTATGATAATTTGAATCTAAATTCCACTGCCTTTTACCCTTTGTTTAGCCCTCTGGAGGGACATAAAAATACATCAGTTCTTTTTCACCTGACAGTTCTTCAAATATCTGAAGCCAGTTCTCATGTCCTCAAGACCTTTTGAAGGCCTAAACTTCTTTAGTTCCTCTGATCAGTTGAACATTTCTGGTCCACCCCATTGTGTGCCCCGTCTTCATTATGTTCCCTAGTGTGTCAATGCCCTTTCAAAAGATGGTACCCCTTAATCTAACAGTATTTTAGACACGGTCTCCACAGGCAGACATCACACTTATACTACTGTAGTGTCAGGTTCAGCTGGCATTTCTAGCAACCTTTGACCTACATCTTACTTGTGCGAACATGTTTCTAGCAAACCCCACACCCTCACATCTATGAACGGCTGCCTACCCTATATTTCTACCACTGGTATTTTTAATCAAACTCAGGATTTTGCTTTTTATCTTTGCCAAATTTCATGACATTGATGTCAGCCCTCTTTTCCAGCCTGCTGTGACTTACTAACATTATATTTTGAGTACCCTTTTCCATTTAAAGAAAAATGAGTGGGAAGAGATAGCATGGGGAGAAATGACAGATACAGGTGAGGGGATGGAAGGCAGCAAACCACACTGCCATGTGTGTACCTATGCAACAATCTTGCATGTTCTTCACATGTACCCCAAAACCTAAAATGCAATAAAAAAATAAATAAAATAAATAAATAAATAAATAAATAAAATAAATAAAAAATAAAAAAATAAAAATGAAGAAATATATCAAAATTCTCAAATGTTAGATTATTTCAGCAGGCAGCAAAGTCTTCAATAAATGTCCTTAACATTTAAATACAGGATTAAAATATAGGTTCTATTTAGTGGTATTTCTATAAGTTTTAGTGTGAGTGTGTGTGTGTGTGTGTGTGTGTGTGTCTGTGTGTGTGTGTCTTAATTTTCTCCTATGGGCTGGCTGGTCCCCACCAACCCAACACTCACCCTGACTTTGTACTTAAGCTATTCTCCCAGCCGGGAACTGTATTTCTTCAAATTCCATTTCACCTTCTCTTTAGAAAATCAGGAAACTAAATCAGGATTTATGGAAATTAAATAAAAGGGCAATAAGCTGACAGCCAGATGCTACTAGGGACAGGGTCAGGGTGGGAGCAGACTGCCTGCTACACTGGGCTGAATGGGTTGTCACTATGTATTACTGACAATATTAAAGGCCTTTTCATATGATGATATCATTAAGACAGTTTTATAATCTAGATATTGATTAACTAGTGTCTGGCCATCTAAGTGGGTAAGGTTTACTCTTGTGGCCCATTGTTAGGAATGATCAGGCTGGATCTTGCTCATGCCACCAACATCTCATGTTGGGCTTTGTGTATGAGAGTTCCTAATGGGAGCCCCAGGTTCAGGTAGGGATTTCTGAGTCAGAACTCTGTAGCTTCCCATGATCTCCACAGCTCCCAAAGAAAAGACCTCACTGGCATCCTATGCAAGGGCAAAAACTCCTGGGTTGAGAGGAGAACACATACCTTTCAGCCCCTTCTTGGAATTGCCATGAAGTGCCTCGTAGATTTGTAGCTCTGACTGGAGGGACTCGAAGAGCTGCTGTTTCTCTTCACACTGTTGCTGCAGGAGGACCAGCTTGTGCTGCAGTCTGCCCAGGGAGAGGCAAGGCCCACTGAGATGGCAGGGCCACTCAGCCACAGCGGGGCAATCAGCTGAGAGCCAGACATCAACTCAGTGGGTCGTAAAGGGTTACGGTTAGGGTTATATTGGAGCCCCAGATGTCAACTCAGCGGGTCATGAAGACCGTCATTTTTATTTCACAGATGTGGCAATGAAGGCTGAGGGAGGTAAAGTAACTTTGCTTGAAATTACAGCATTAGCTACATTAGTTCAGAGCAGAAGAGACACACCAGCACAGTCTCCTAATTGCTCCTAAAGTGCTCTTTGCATTCTGACCAGCAGTTACAGGGCTTAAGCCAGTACAGAAGCTTCTAGGTGATGGTGAGACAAATGTCCTATATCAAATCGGAAGCACGAAAACCCTTCTTTTCCATGTCTATGATATACTGAAGACTTATATAACAGTGTTTTACTCTCTCAACTAGAGAGTGAAAAGGCATTCCCGGAAAAGTCCTTTCTTCTGCTCAAAGTGGCCCCTCCCACACATACAAATCAGGAATAGCAGAGGGAACATTGAGGTTTCCAAAAGAGGGCACCGATTGTCTTGCCAATATCCTTTCTTCTAATGTAAGAATGAAGAATGCTACCTTCTCTGTCAGTGGGTCTCCTCTTACCTGGAGTCATTTTCCTGGAGGGAAAGACGTTCCTCCCTGAAATGCAGGATCTCTTGCTGCTTCGCCCTCAAGTCTTCCAAAAGCTGCTGCCTTTCCACCTTCTGGTGCTCCAGCTCCTTCTCCAGCTCTTGAAGGTGGGATCGAGAGGACAGCAGAGCCTCCTTCAGGCTTTCCATTTCCCGGGAGTGCTCTGGTGAGAGGAACACGGGAGGGTTTATTATCATGGGGCCAGAGCTTGGCAGGAAGATGAACCCAAGCACATCGCCCTGACAAACAGAGCTAAGGAGCAAGGAAGAAAGGCCCTGTGTTGGTGGGGAAGAGCATGCTGGCTCAACGTCCCACACAGCCTGGGGAATGGTGCATCTCTCTCTTTGCAAAACCCTTCATTCCCCTGATGTAATCTGGCCAACTTGCTCCTAGAGAAATTCCAGTTTCTAATGCTCACCATTTTCCAGGTCCTCGCATACCATCTGTTCAATAATCCATTCTTGAATTTTGACAAAGATCAACATCAAGATTTCTTTTTGGAATATATCATTTTCATTATTCTGAAAACTGGGATATTTGTTCTTTTTTGAACTTGCAGCACGTCTCTGCTCTTCACAAGGCATCAGAGATTATTGAAGGGACTCAAAAAGTACAGCTGCCGGCTCAGCAAGTTCTCTGGGGAAAGATTCACTTGACCCTGGCAAATTGATACTCATTTAAATCCCTTGCTGTCTTCCCACCTGTTAGGTCTGGTCTCTTCTCTCCAAGTCTGCAAGGGTAGCTTAGTAGTTCAGCCCTCTTAACTGTTAACTTTCATTATCATCCCCCAGCAGTAACCTTTCCTCTCAAATCTTTTTGCTCTGAGGTGGCTAACTTAGAAATATTTCTTGGTGGCTTTTTCCTTTTCCAAAAGCATTCCTTCATTCTGGGCTTAATCCTTTTGGATACTACTCTCAGTCTTTTTATAGCTCTTCAATAAGCATTTTTGAATAAAAATAGTTTATTATTGATAATACATTGATCCGATCAAGCAGACTAACACCAAGGTCAGCTGCCTCCCGGCCACACGGGAAATGATGCCCACCTGTGAATGCCCCCTGGTTAGGGCTGGGAAAGTGCTGAGTGGCATTTGCTGGTGACTCTGCATGGAGTCGTAGGAGTACTGACCAGAGAAGAGCCCTGAGTGTATGAGTGGGGGCTGTGGCGAGGAGGCAGAGGGACAGCAGAGCAGGGCCAGGGGCGACACACACTGCTGCAGTAAAGTCTGCAGAAACTCGAGAGGGAAGCTAGACATTCGTCATTCACACTCCCTCATTTATAGGTTCCAAATCAGTTGTGAGTGAAGGGAGGTAGAACAGGTACCAGACTGGCATCCGGTTTGATAGCTTGTGACTCTGGACATGTGCAGGTGGGCTTGTTCAGAAATGATGGATTTCCTCGAGCTCTTCACTCTCGTGGCCTAGGAGTCTGAGAGGCCCGTAGCTGGGATGTCTTAGAAAGCAGCCTTCTCTAGACTGGAACAACTTTAAGTTTGGTTGGGTGGATCTGAGCTGCTCTGTTGTCTCTACCTGCTGTTTGCTTCTCCAGTTGGTGAATAGTGTGGCCAGGGAAAAAAGAAACTTCAGAGTGACCACAGTTTGTGGCTTTTGACCACGTACCTCTGGAAACATGACTCAGTTGAGCCTGAAGTGCTCGATTTTCTTCCCTGAGGACTCTGTTCTCATTGCAGAGCTGAGGTATGGACTCCAGGCCCTGATTGTAGAAGTTAGAGGTGGATCCTGGCCCAGAAAACACACATTTGGGTAACAGAAGCTTCCAAAAGTTTCCCACTCTTTATCTCTCAAAGATACTGCCCCAACCCAGCAGAAAACCACAGGGACTCCAGGCCCAGCCCTGAATGAAGCGTGGGGGGCTAGGTGCATGTCTTCTGTGTGCCTCTTCTCAGTGGAATCTCTGCATGCATTATCACATGCCATAACTGCAATGGTGCAGGATGCTCGTTCCCCCGAAACAGCTGCTGCTGTGGTGTAGGCAGGACAACAACATATGGAAAGGCTGGCCTCCGTGTGATGGCAGCTTGGAGGGAGAGTGTAAGGAGAAAGGCCACCTTGGCAAAGCGGCCAGGGGTGGAGCTGGAGGGACCCTTGCAGACCTGGCTCTACCACTTATCAATCACGTGACAAGGGCACAGACGTCAGCAGGCAGCATATAAGCAGATTAAGTATGGGGTGAGAAGTCAGGTGACTCTGAGGACCAGACCTAGTTCTGCCTCAAAGAGAGTTACTCTCTAGACTCAGAAATATTCAGGAAGCAGGGATAACAGTATTTGCCCACCTCCTCTGCTGGACTGTTTATAAGGAGCAAGTGAAGTAAAGAATATCTGCGAAGCTCTGCCTACGGGTCTTCCCTTCAGAAGCTCCCCAAATACAGCCCGAAACAGGTCTGGGCCTCTCCTACCGCTTGCACGAGCAGTAGAGCTCAGCCGGTGTTCCAGTTGCTCCCGTAGGCGATCATTGATGCAGATGGACTCCTCCAGGCGCTGGCGCAGGTTCCGGATTTCACCGAGATGCTCTTCCAGCAGGTCAGCCCCTGCAGCCAAATCGCCAGGACATGGAGAGAGGTGGGAGATGGAAAATTCTGGTTACCGACAGAGGTGGGCTGAGCCAGGGGCCTTGCAGCAAGATCTGTGAATATCACTAGCCTTCTGCCGACTGTGTTCTCTCACATGGATGCACAGGGGAATGGTAGTTTTGTTTAAAGAGTAAATGTGCTTTCAAACACAGGACAGCCACTTGCTAAGAAAATTCCATGGGCCTCCTCCCACTCAGGGGTCTTGTGAGAGTTCCACGTTTTAGAAAAATAACTGAAGGCTCTGGACAGGGCCTCCCTAGCATCCAAAAAGTTATGGCCACCTCCTGGGTGTGACTCTGAGGGTGATTGGTAAGACCTCACTCTACTTTTCTTCTTACTGACACATGACTGAGCATTCTTTAGCAAGAGATGAAGCACTTCCTTCCACCCTTAGAGAGAAGGCCTAAAGTAAAAGTATGTGACCTTAAACTCACCCTATGTGGTTAATGACTGACACTGAATGCCTCCCTGAAGTCACTTTTAACATGGAAGATGAAAGAATAGCCTGGAAGGACCTAGGGATCTGAAGGCAGATTAGAGAGGGGATGGCACCCCCAACCCCCAAAAAGGAAAAAGATGTGGAAAAGTCAGAGGGATGCTTACAATGGACATACTGCGCCATTCTGCTCTGGGCTCAGTCCTCTCCTGAAAATTATGACTGTCTTACTGTTGGAACTGAGCGGCATCCCAGCATTTCAGAGCTTAGCTGTACCTCTCCACTTGCTGTGACTGAGTTTTGTGCACAGGATATATGCACAGGGTGGGGGAGCTGCACCCCTTCCTGTGACAACTCCTGACTGATGGAAGAAAGTCCTGTCCATGCCTGGCATTCTGGAGGGGTCTAAGAGAGTGGGTTGGAAAGAGGCCAGGCTACAGGGAGACGGAAGGACATGAAATGCAAAAGCATAAGAGGGAGGTCCCTGACTTTCCCATATCCCCACAGAGCATGGAAGCCCTGCGCAGGAGAAGGAAGAAATGTACTTAGAAAGGATTGAGCCCTGATACAGCACTTTCATTTTATACCCAGCCTGTGAACAAGGGACTGGAGGAGGAATGAAAAACTCCGGCCTAGGTAGGCGAAGAACAGACTCTGAATGAGACTTCTTTTCAAAGGCTGCTGTCCCAGCTTTGTGCTTTACCTGTGGGTTTGGAGTTAAGCTGGTACACAGAGGAGCCTGAGGATAGGTCCCCCGATACACTCCCTTTCTGAGGCCTCATTATGTCCCACTGGCCACTGCTGCCCAGGTACCCAGGCTCCAGGATTCTTCCCAGTTCTATGGTGCTCCTTGGAGGAGAGTGAGGCTGCGCAGAGTTGAGGTAGTGGGAAGGGCCACCTCTGCTGACACCTGTGCAGAAAGAAACATGAGTAAGACACGAATGGGGTGTCAGAAGGGAAGGATGGGCAAGGAAGTGTGTGATTGCTAAGAATAGAGTCTAAAAGGGGATATGTAGAATGTTAGATACCCCAGTTCACTGTGGTGGGCCAATTAGATGAAGGCTCCTAAGCTACACGTTGTAACACTCACCCTTTGTATTTCCTAGCAGAACACACAAGAGGTAGAAGATAAAGTATCTTAAAGTCATCAGTATACACAATGGAAAAGCTCAGTGGCCCTGCTCCTGGGTGCTACTATAATTCCTCATGACAGACTCCAAGGAAAGTTCCAAAAGTAGGACTCACTCCCACAGTTAGAAGTCGTGAGTGCAGTGGCATACAGGATTGGGCTTACCTGTGAATGCAAACATTTGTTTGTCTACATGTACTTGCCTTCCCCTGAAACTAAGCAGTCAATATGTCCATTCCACCTTGGAGTTTTTCAGAAGAAAAAGGGGACATGAAATTGAGCTGGATATAGTGGCCCTAGTTCCTCCAGACGGAAGAACTCTTTGTTGAGTCTGGGGAAGGGTCTATGTAAGGCAAGTATTTATTTGGATTCCATTCAGCATAACTCAAGAAGCTGCAAAATTCATACTTTCTTTCTTTCCTTCCCTCCCTCCCTCCCTTGCTCCTTCCTTCCTTCCTTCTTTATTTATTTATTTATTTATTTTTTTATTTTTTTTTATTTTTTTTTATTTTTTTTGAGACAGAGCCTCACACTGCCACCCAGGCTGTAGTGCAGGGGTGTGATCTTGTCTCACTGCAATCTCTGCCTCCTGGGTTCAAGCAATTCTCCTGCCTCAGCCTCTGGAGTAGCTGGCATCTCGCCTTTGTAAAAAATCACTGAATACTACTCCACAGAGGCAGGTAGGGCCTGTCATTTCATAGGCTGATACTTTCATAGACCCTTTGAAATCACAGGCCTTTGACTTGAGTCCCGTCACCTCCGCTCCTCTGTAAAAAGAAGCCTGGCATGGGGGAGATGGGGAAAGAGGTGGGCACAGACACAGTTTAGGAGAAAATTCAGAATCTGCTTTCTTTCAGGGATTATGAACACGGGCAGGATAACAGATAGGTAGCTCCGTAGCTCCTCCTAAGCAACAGGAGTGAGGTCCTTGTTGCCTCCAAGCAAGCCAAACTCCTGGGAGGGGTTAGTGTAAATGCCACTTGCCAGTTTTTATCCCCATTTGTAACTGCTTCTCAAATTTGGCTACATATTGGAATCACCTGAGAATATGGAAAAATATACTGATTCCTGGATTTCAGAGATTTTGCCTTAATCCATCTTGAAAAATTGATGTTTTAAATTCATTATAGGTGATTCGAACAGGCAGAAGTTTGAAAGGTCCTGTCATGAGTCTCTTCTCCAATTTGCGAAATACTAGATGTTCATTAGAATCAGTTAGTTGAGGAAGAGGATAAAAAAATTTAAGCACCTAAATTTTAGAAGGGAGGCAATACATGATTCCCTACCTCTTTCAAACTGCCTTCAACCCCATCCCAACACAACGCAAAAGGGGAGACCAGTGGTTGTGGACAGCTCGCTTCTCAGTCAAGGCCATGTGAAGTTCTAAGTCTATCAGTAACAAGGATCGGTATTCTCATGTTCCAGTCCCTTGGCCACACAACACACAGCACATGCTCTAAACCATGCAAAGATACCATCCAGACTCTTGCACAAGATTTCAACCCCAGGGACCTGAGAAGCCACCAGGAACCACTGTCCACATGGAAACTTGGCTCAAAGCAAACAGTGAGCTTGGATAAGTCCTTGGAGAGGACCATGACTCCAGGTGGAGAAAATGCTACAATCTTCCTCATCTAGGCTGGGACCATTCGAACTCCAGCCAGTGGCCTCAGACTTGATGTGATTCCAGTTTAACCCAAAACAACAGACCCTTTTTCATGGACAGTGCTCTCCTTCCATCCTTCCCTTTGGGCAAAGACAAGTGGACAAATGTGGAAAGATCAAGGAAAAGGAGGCAAGGGGGAAACATGGAAGCTAGAAAATACTCTTGCCATTTGTCATGGGACACATTTGTTGCCCATCAATTGTTGGTGCCAGAACGGCTAAAGTAACAACTTTTAGGTCAGAAACACCAGCATCTCCTACTGGTCTCTAAAGAGAGGGGAGGACTGTCGCAAGGGGTCCCCAGAGTTTGATTAGCTGCGCTCAGCCCCATAATCTAAGCAGGATGGTGACAAAGTCATCCTAAGTAGAAAAGGTATAAGAGAAATGTGAAACCTGGAGCAGAAGACCTGATTCAAGCCCATCTCTCCCACTTTCTAGTGACCTTGAACAAGTAACTTCACTTCCCTGAGCCTTAGCATTCCCTGCACTAGACAAAGTATCCATTTCCTGGACTGACAAAACAAATAGGCTAGGTTGGGTGCTGTGGCTCATGCCTGTAATCCCAGCACTTTTGCAAACCAACCAATCACTTGAGCTCAGGAGCTCTAGACTGGTCTTGGCAACATGAAGAAACCTTGTTTCTACAAAAAATACAAAAATTCACCAGGCATGGTGACACGTGCCTGTAGTCCCAGCTCCTTGGGGGGCTGAGGTCGGAGGGTCTCTTGAGCCCAGGGGGTCGAGGTTGCAGTGAGCTGAGATCATGCCACTGCACTCCGGCCTGGGTGACAAAGTCAGACCCTGTCTCAAAAAAAAATAAAAATAAAAAAAGAAGAAGAATAAAAGAAATAGGCTGGTCCACATGACATTTGGGGCTGCAGGGAGGGGATGCAAATTCTTAGGTGTTGCCTTACATCACTCTAAATTGCTGGCATGGTAACCCTATCAGTCTCTGGATCACCTAAGCTTCTTTACAGGCACAGAAAGTGCCTGACAAATGAGTTTAAGTTCATTCAAACTGCCTCCTCATGGTTGTGCTTAAGGTGCTATGAGAGAGCAAATTCACGTGAAGGTTTCTTTCCCATTTTTTTCTAAGCTATCAGTGATCACCAACACACTAAACTTAGGATGAGCATGCCGCCTACAAATACATCAAGGTGTTTTCTAAAAAATGACTGTCCACAGTCTACATAACTACATAACATCAATTATCCTTGGGAGTCAGACCATGGGATTCACAGTCGGATGCCCTAGCTGGTGCTGTGGTTCTCGCTGCCTACATGTCACCTGTCCCGGGGCAGGGATGAACCCTGTGCAGTAGGAAAAGGGGTTCATCATTTCCTCTTCTGAGTCCCTCTATCACTACCCTTTTAGCTCCAACCTGATGATGCCAGGAACTGAACTTGATTACCAGCTTTTCACAGCAGAAAAATATAATAGCCACACAAAGGAGCTCACTGAATGTGGCCATCTTTTCCTTGGCCACTTCATCTTGCATAGGCAAAGCATAACATCTCTTTCCCATCCCCTACCAATGAGCAGTCTGTCCGGGATTCAGCATACTTGGTGGTATCCAACAGTAGGTCAAGAGCCTTGTGAACATATCTACCTGTTAACTTATGAGACACACACACCCGAGAAATAACAGTAAATACATTTCCAAAAAATAAGCAAGCAGAGCTTCCCCTCAGTCTTCCATTTGTAACGTGTACCCGTGTTGTTTTTCTAAACTCTGCCATCCAGCCCAAGCCATGCAGAGCAACACAGTATGGGACTGCCACTTGCAAGCACACAAATGCAGCAGAGGTGCTCACTTTCTCCCAACTGCTTCTGCAGCATCTGCAGCTCCTGCTGAGCCTCAGCCAAGGAGACCACCGGTGTCTCACAGCAGCCAAGGAGGGGAGGGCCAGTGGAACTGAAAGGCAGGAAGCTGGATGGAGCTGAGGGCAATGATGCCTGAGGAAGGCTAGCCAGCTTGGGGATGGAGTGAAAATGAAAGCCTAGAAACAGAGTTAGGGAGAAAAGAGACACATCATCGAGAGAAAATGAGAGAAAAGAATGGGTAAAAGATTGAGAAGGTAAAACCATTCCCTGACCAGACGTCACTCTGTGGAGTGGCTATCACCTAGCATGGTACAGGATGAGAGATCCAAGGGTGACCAGAGGATGGCCTGGCTGACCTTCCCACTTCTACCCTGCCAGGGTTATGCTGCACACATCCTCTATGTTCATCTTGAAAGCAATTGGCTAAAGAAGGTACGGTGGCATTATTGAGCTCCACCACAGCAACCCTGGCCATGGACAAGTCAAAGAGCCTGAATGCTCCCACAGGCCCCTGGGGCTCTCCTCCCAGCATGTGTCAGGCCTTGGCCCTGGGACAAGACTTTTTCTCCACCTAGAACTCCTCTCTGACAGCATCAGATCCCACCCTGAGTAGGAGAGAAGTGGACAAAGGCTGTGGGGAAATTTTCATTACTAGTGCATGCAGTTCAGGACTCTGATGGAAACAAACTTCAGAATTCCAAATCCACATGTTCATTCACCAAATTAAAAATAGATGCCTTGGTAAGGTGGCTTAGACAAAATGGCTTGCAAAACCTCCTGGACATTTAAATCACATAGGAAAAACTTTTAATACATGCAGATTCTTTAGGCCTTCTTGATTCTGTCTAGGCCTTAATGTAGATTTAGAGAATTATAAATTCTTGGAACAGGAAATTTGTATTAAAACAAGTCTTTCCCAGTGATCTCTAGGCGGCCCATCTAAAGACAGGTTTTTAGAAACCCTGGCAAGTTTCAATGTTTAAAATGGTTTCCTCTTCCCTAAAAGCAATTAAAGGGCAGGTAGCCAATGGAGGGGGAGTAGAAACAGAAGCTGACCTGTAGGGAAGGTCTGATGTAGAAGACAATGATTACATTCTAAAACACATCCCTTGTCCCATGGTGCTGATACCATTTCAGATCAATACTGTAAATACACCCAAATTGCCAAGTAACACAGCCCAGGCATCCATTGAGGAGGCATTCTCATTTTCAAATCCTCTGTTCTTCATCTTCTGCTCTGTTTGAATGCAAAACATTTAAGCAGATGTCTAAGATTCTGGGAGCACAGCTTTTCCTCATGACTCTGGTCCAGCTGCTTCCCACTCTGGCCTAAAAATTTTGAAACCAGGCTCCAGAAGCATTGGAACACTTCCTCTTCCTTAAGATTTTGGTTGAACTGCCTTCAGGGAAATGAGGGCTGTAGAAGAAAGCACTGTGCTTTCTGGCAGTGCACCTCTACCCAAGTCAAATCTCACATTAAACCACACCGAAAGGCAGCCAGCCAACTCTGGTGGGAGGCAGAAGGTGAAGACAAGGTTTGCCTTTTCCTAGCCAGCTCTGGTACAGGGCTGTGAATGAGCACTGTACCCTCTGGCAACTAAGCTGGGATTGCAAATGAAATGCACCCCTTTGATTGCCCCCGAGATATGCTCTATGTACATACCAAGGATGGCCAATCCATTCATACATCCATTAATGGTAGCGTACTATGAACAGGACCTTGTCTGAGGATGTTTCAGCATCCTTGGCTATAAAATAAGTAGCACTAACCCTTGCAGAGGCTCACCATGGAGATTTAATGGGTAACACACACAGTGGATGAATAGATGTGAATTTCTTATCATCCTATGGCTGTTGTAATCCTTGGAGAAACATTTTGCCTCTTTGCTCCCCAGGGTAAAATGAGAGAAAACCAATAAAAATGTTTGTTTTAAATGATTAGCCAACTACTAGTCAAAACTCATATGCTGATCAAAAGCTGATGTGGGTTACTTATTCATGAAAATATTTTCTTAAATCAGACACCATTGGTGAATGAGGATGGTCTCTTGATTCTGTCTAGGATTTGATGCATTTAGGCCCCTACCAGTCTAAACTTTTGTCCTTGAAGAAAAGTTAAACAGGCAGCAGAGAAAGAGAATATGGAGCTTCTGCCCCATTGACTGTTGCATACCTGAATGGGCCTGGTTGGCCTCCTTAGGGGGATTCTGGGGAGCTGGCAAGCTGATGGGGTTGCTGCTGGATTCGGCCTTAACCCCCTGAGATGCACTGGTTGATGATGGTTTAGAAGACAACACAGCAGAATGACTCGAATGATGGATGGAATCTATAAAACCCATGAATGAAGGAAAATGTTTGATGTTCTACAGAGAACTGGAATCCTGGCCTTCTAGCTAACCAGGGGTATCAGGGTTAGAGTCTTGCTTTCAGGGAAAGAACCAAGCACAAGCACTGTTAACAGTATTCATTTTCTTGCTTGCAGACAGCTCCTTTAGTGAGGCAAACCACCTGAGGGATGATAGTAGTGCTCTGAGCTCTGAAACCATGAAAATGGCAACTCCACAAATATCAGGCAAGACTAGCGGCATCTGTGGACATCCACATTGACTTAGGGAACACTGCTCAGGAATGAATAGCAAGATTGTTGTAAGAGGGATGAGATAATTGGAATAAATAGCAAGATCAGTGTAGGAGAGATGAAGGAGGTTTTCCAACAGATTCACCAAGGAAGAAAAATCTGCCATGGTCTTCTCACTCTCCCCACAATGGCTCACCTTGTGCCCAACAGCATGCACAGGCCCATGGAGGCCAGGGTGACAGAGGTAACTTGTAGAGTCAGGAGCGAGCAAAGATCCTGAGCCACTGGTGCCTGTACTTGGCACTTGGCCCCACAGCCATGTTCAGCCTGATACATACCATGGTGGAGCTATAAGGCCTGTTTTCTGAGGTCTGCACTCAGCCTAGACAAACACAGTAGCACCCAGAAAGTGGAGGCTACCTGAGTGACCGGGAGAAGCTTTCTTCTCTTCGTAGTGTGTGTACTCGCTGGCTACGTCCATGTCAGAGCAAGCTTCCAGCTCATCAGAGAGAAAAGAGGTGCTGCTGGGAGAGCGGTGGGAGTCAGACAAGGCATGGCTGCTGGAGGGTGTGAGGGACCGAGCATCCAGCTTGGCCTGAAGGACTTCAATCACTTTCTCCTTTTCCTGCAGCTCTCTGCTGAGCCTGGTGGGGAGAAGGGGGACAACACGTAAAACCAAGGTCACCCAAACCAACCTGTCCTGACTGTGGCTCATGGGAAAAGCCAAGTAGACCAAGGGGACCACGCCTCCAGAGAATAATGGAAACGACTCACCTCTGCTTAGGGATGAAGCATAGGTGGAGTGAAAATGGAGAGACAAGAGCTACCCAGTGCTCTGGCCACATAATATGCTGAGGACGAGCAAAGACATAGTCTAATCTAGTCATAGTCTAGTCCCTCTTTTAAGGAACTGCTGCTTAAAGTATGATCCCTGGAACAGCTGCAGCCTGAGAACTGTCTGTCACCGTCGCCAACAAGACAAGCATAAAATTTGAAAGCACGCATTGAGAAACACAGAGCAAACCACTGTCCCAACATGATGTCCCAACGTGATAAGTGAAATAATGTGGTTAACTGAATTCAGACCACATACACTTCTATGATGGATTAGAAATAAAAACAAAAAACGAAACACCCCGTCCTTCACTATGGATATTTTCAGAAGCATTTATGTGGTCTGAAACACAGGCATGACACAAAGAACCCAAACTAGTGGCTACAACTGACTCTGAGTCCATATTTCATTGATGATTATATGGAACAACTCACTGAGATACGGTTCCCGAGGCACTGCAGCCTCCCAGTCATCTACAACGTCTCGGCCTCTCTCACCAGGTACTGTTATTTGACTCCTTTCTTCCCCAGGCCAACTGGGTGACTATTAAACTAGCTGTCAACCCAACTTGGGGTAGGCCAATTTTGGAAAAAGCTCATTCTACTTATTAAACACACCACAGGAAAGCAGGGTCCTTAGGGGAGCCGAAGGCTGTTGAACCCTAGTTAGTTCACTTTTAGTTCAGACTGTTTCTAGGTTACTAAGCCTGGAGAATTAATGTGCCAATGCAATTAAACCAAAAGAAAAGAAAGAACTTAGTTAAAAACAACAGTGAACTGTTTAATGAAGGCATGAGTTCATTACACTCAGCCCTTTCCTTTTTCCCCTTGACTTGTGGAGCTGCTGCCACCCTTGACCTCTTGGGCCGAAGTCCCAATCTCTTTCCCAGATTCTCTTCTGAATTACCTGAGGGCCAACGGCTCCAGTCCAGCTTGATCTTTCTCACTTTTATGATCCTCTGCAAACCAAATTTAGAAAGAAATAATAAGAAATTAGGCCGATCCCATTTCATGCATTACAAATACAGGAGCCTATCTGGAGACAGAGTAGCGATCATTTCATGTGTGCATCCGGAATAGTTATTCTGGAAGGCCTCAGGTTGTGTCTTTAGAGAAGCACCCAACTGTCCCTGACCTGATGGTCACCTTCATGGCTTCCTCTGCCCAAAATCAGGGTAAAACATTTACAATGTCTTTTGTTCCATTCATGACGAGGCCCTTGCCTGGCTGCCCTGTGTTCACTCCAGCCTCCATGTCCTGCTGCAGACTAGCTCCCAGATGCACATATCCCTCCACAGCCTTCACGCAGACTCTGCACTGGTCTCTGAGGAGATGATCAGCCCTGCCTCACCTCTGCACCTGCCACCAGAAGATAGGCTGGGTGGCTCTCAAGTCTCATCCTACTATGCTCCCTTTGATATTCTCTGGAAATTCTCTCTGAGTAAAAGACCCCAATAATAAACAATGGAGCCCTCTAACTACTGCAGCCAGTGCCTAAACCGTGTCCAAAAGAGGATGTGCTTTATCCATGAGCAGAGTGCATGCGTGTACATTACCATGCCATAAATGAAGATACCACCAGGATAAGGCATTTGCCCAAAGCAAGTTGGTGGCAGCATCCAGGATAGAGCTTGGGTCTTACAATTCTTAGTTCAGGGCTCTTCCTTCTATAACAAGGCCCTTCCATCTCCTGTCCCCTACTCCCCCTTAGCAACAAATAGATGCTGTTCCCTGCCCCAGAGGTCACATTCCATGAGTGGTGAAGTTTCTACAGTTGTAACCATGGCATCTCCAGCCCTGTGTGTTCCTCTCCATGCTTCCCACTGAGCAGTCTTGCTTCTGTATTAGCCCCAGGAAGTGAAACACAAACAGGATCCTAGGTTAAAAAGTCACAGTAGAGGTGTGGTGGCCACCAAGTGTCTGGAACTTTGGGGGTGACCAAGAGGATTCCAAAGCCCTGTGGCCAACTTACTGGTGCTGAGTCTGCTGGTGAGCCTCTCTGTCAACTGGCTTCCCTGGGCGAGTTGCTCCCGGAAGCTCTGTCCCAGGTAGTAGTCAATGTCATTGCTCCTTAGGAGATCCTCAAAAGATTTTACTGTATCTTTTGCATGCTGGGTGAGAAGATAACAGATACCTCTCCCTTCTCGTATTTTTTGCCGTAGGTAAGACAGTTCCCGGGCCTGATCCTGAATCAGGGAGTCATATTTCCTAATGCAGGACAGAAGAGGAAAGAGTAAGGGTGGAAAGAATGTATGGTAGGTTATGGGGGTTCTGTGAAGAATTCCATGAGAACATCTCTGAGGAACTCTCCCAAGCTGAATTCTGGCATATAAGCCATAGGAGGTATTTAAGAGTAAATGCTATTCTGATAAAGTATTGCATCAGAAAATTTAGTATGCCACTGTTCTTCAACTGTTATATATATATATATATATATATGTTAATTATATGTCCCTAGATAAATCATCAGGTCTGTGAGAATACAGATGGTTCTGTATTTTATATCCCTCACAGCACCAGTACCACATAGATTCACAGCAGTTACTCAGTAAATAATTAGAATCACTTCATCCTAAGTCTAGATAGGACCTTTCATGTCTTCTGTTTCAAACGCCACCTGATGTCTGAATTTCTTCTATGTTATAATACTGTGGCGGACTATATTTTGCAATGATACGGCCATCATATAATCTCTCATACCATCAACTGATGGGACCCAAAACAAGAAACCCTAAGGCACAGCCACCCAGGTGAGCCCAGTCAACCCACAAAACTATGAAACATAATAAAGGATTGTTTGAAGTCATTAAGTTTTAGAGTGGTATTACTTAGCAACAGATAACCAAGACAGATAACCAAGATGAATGTCTCAAGATGAATGTCTGTTTTCAACACAAAGTATCTTAACACTTATAACTATGGAAAATACCATTGAGAGCTTAATATATGATAGGCACTATTCTCAGCAACTTGTATTAATTCTTTTTATTTTATTTATTTTTTTTTTTTGAGACAGAGTCTTACTCCGTCGCCCAGGCTGGATATCAGTGGTGCCATCTCAGCTCACTGCAATCTCCACCTCCCAGGTTCTCCCAAGTGATTCTCCTGCCTCAGCCTCCCAAGTAGCTGGGATTACAGGCATGCACCACCATGTCCAGCTAATTTTTGTATTTCTAGTAGAGAGAGGGTTTCACCATGTTCAGTAGGCTGGTCTCGAAATCCTGACCTCAGGCGTTCCACCCACTTTGGCCTCCCAAAGTGCTGGGATTACAGGCATGAGCCCTGGCCAGCACTTGTATACACTCATTTAAACCTAATAACTATCTTTGAGATGGGTCTGTTATCATCCTCATTCAACAGGTAAGGATAAAGGCTTGGAAACGTTAAGAAGGTTGCATAGGTAGTAAGCATCAGAGCTAGGCAGTCTGATTCCAGTCTTACTACTATACTAGAGCATATATACTATTAGTTTACTAGTATCTCCCTGAGAGGAAATCTCTGAGACCTGGTATCTCCCAGATACCAGGTTATTATCCCTTGCCCTCCTGGTTGCTTACCTGGCTTTTCCTTAGACCTATTTCCACCATTTAAATCAGTGTCCTTGTGACTACCCAGACATGTTCTTTCTTTCAACTGCCTGAGCCACCCTACATCAAGCACAAACTCACACATTTTCAATCAAGAAAGGGGCCAACCAGTGCCCTCCTTACCCAGGCCATGAGGCTGATCTCAGTTCCTCAGCCAGCTTCCCTTCTAGTCCATTTTTTGGGAGCTGGGCTTCCAGCTGGGATACTCTCTGGATGAGACTCTCCAGATCCTTTGTGGCCTGAAGCCCTGGAGAGTAGAAAGCACCAGTGCCATCAGACAGCCACCCCTCATCCTCATCAGTGACACTATGAGGTGAAGACCCCTCCAGGGTGCCCACAGCCCTCAGCTTCCGGGGTCTTTCCAGACTAGATGAATAATCACTTGTAACTGAGAGGGACCGGACCCGGCTCTTGAGGTTTTGAATGATCTTGTTGGCATTCTGCAGCTGGGCCTTCAGATCTTTGATGTCCTTTCGTAGGACACAGATGTCTTCTGACTTTCCATACACTCGGAACTCTTCCTGCTTCCCTAGCTGGTTCTCCAAGGGCTTCTTCTCAGATGAACTAGCCCATGTTGAGCCCCGGCGCCCCTGCTCAGAGCACAGCCCCTCCATCGGGGCCATTTCCTTGAGGCTGTTGTGCTCTTCACACTCTGAAAAAACACAAAGATGTCTTCCTAAATAAAAGTTGGACGTGCTGTTGTGGCCACTGCCTTTGAGAGGAAGCAGGTTTGGTCCTGACGACAATAATTACTAGGGAAAAAGTTGAAGCGGTACTTTATTCAACCCTGACACTGTACTAGGCATTCAAATACAATATTTCTTATCCTCCCAACAGCCTTACAAGTTAGGTATCATCACTTTCTATTTTACCAACTGGGGAAACCAAAACTTAAAGAGAGGTAAACCAGTTTGTTCTAGATCACTCAAATTAGCACAGGGCAGAGCCAGAATTCAAATCCTTTAATGTCCTGTGTTCATTCCACACACTGATATTTCTTAAGACATTAACATGGGCTTATCTATTTAGGATGGCCACAAAAATACAGGATGAGCTAATACTGCATGCAGAAAGTTTAGTACTCTCTAAATTTTCCTATACAAATTTTGAAAAGTTTGTTGGGTTACTACTGTGTGAAAAATAGGCATATGAAAATAAGACTTTGAATAAATATATCACCATCTTAACACTGGTGCATTAGAGAAGTGGTAGTCAGAATGAGAACTAATCCATGGCATTTTACCAGATGCCAGGGACTGTTCTAAAGTGTTTTATAAGAATTTACTCATTAAATTGACATAAGTACCTGATGGGGTAGGTAGTTCCTTTATTACTATTTTAACATGTGAAGAAACTGGAGCATAAGAAAGTTTGCAAATTGAGATTTGAATCAACCGCTCTGGCCCCAAGGTATTTTCTCTTTACTGCTACACTACACTGCCTCAAGAATGAGAGAGATTGTGTTTTTCTTCTCTTCTGGTTTTCAGTGTGGTGGGTGGCCCTATAGCTGTGGTCCTTACATAATGCAAAACAAAATTATTTTTAACTTATGGTATGCACATTTGCAAAACCTCATCTAGTCTCTAAGTAGGCCTTAGTATTTCTATAATAGTCAATTGGATAGAACTTTATATTATTATTATCATTATTAGCAGTATGCCAAAAACTAATTGTAGAAATTCAAACTTACATTTCGCCTCATTTTGGGTAAGAGTTCTCCTGTTAACCTCCTCTTTCCACTGCTTGTCAGGTGAGGAATTGGTCAACAGCACCCAAATGTGACAGCTGACTCCAGGGAGGGAAGATGAACTCCACACCCTGTGCTCTTACCGGGACTGGTGGTTTCCTCCCGTTCAGCCTCATTCTCGCTTCGGCCACAAGTCTCATAGCCCAGGTCCTGGAGGTCCACCTGGACCTGCTTGCTGTCCTGCTTCACTGAGGATTCACCTGCTTGGGAAGAGACAGCAGGTGTTGCAGAATGGCTGAATTTCCCACATCTGCCCTCAGCCTCAATGGCACATACCCTAACCTTCTGGGGCAGGGAGGTCAGATCTGCAGTGGGAAAGAAGCTTCTTTGAATCAGTGGGAGAAGGGACTACCAGCTCCAGGAAGCAATTTCTTTCCACCAGAATGAGCCTGCATTTGCCATTGATAATCTCCCCTTCAGATAACCTAGGCTTAGTTTCGACCAGGTATCTGTAGGTTGGGGATTATATACTGTCATCTCTAGAAGCCCCATTGAAGTTGCCAAGTGCCAATCTGCAGGGGTTCAGTAAATATTGAGTGAAGCTGAACTAATTTAGAGTCCCAAGACACCCAGACCTGTACTGTCCAATAAGGTAGTGACTGCCTCATATGACCACTTTATAGTAAATTAACTAAAATTAAATGAAACAAAATGTCCAAGTTGCACTAGCCACATTTCATGTGCTCCATAACCACATGTTATGTAGGTATAGAACATACAGAACTTATAAGACACACAGCCTAGTCTTCTTTACTAGTAAGTCATAGTTACTTACTAAGTATGATTCTGTATTTCTCCAGCTCATTAGCCTGAGCAAAGACAGTGGCTTCTGAAAGCAGCAGCTTCTCCTGGAGATCTTGATAGCGTTGTTTGCATTGTGACAGCTGGGAGCGCAGGTGCTGGGTGGACCCTGGTAGGCTAAACGTTGACTGAGGCTGAGGGTCACGAGGTTGGGACTGGTTATCCAACTGTGAAAGGGGCCAATACAGGGATCAGGACAGCCTGAGGTCACCCCCATGCAGTGACAACCACTGCCCCTTCTGAACCCTGTGGACTTTGCTCATGTCTGTCACAGCACTTCTCATGCCATTTGGCAGCAATGTGCTTTCCAGATGGAGCTCGGAGCGCTGGGGTAAGTATAATTCATCTCTGTAACTACAGCACACAGCACAGCGCCAATCACGTGTATAGAGGAGCTCTCGGAAAATGTCTTCTCAGTGGACAAAAAGAGAAGGGGTGGAACCCTCCACTCATCTCCCCTCGCACTTCTCCCATTGATTCTCTCAGAATCCCCTGTATTCTCCATTTTGCTGAATCTTCAGCAAAGCTCCTTCCCTAAAGAGGACCTCAATAACCCATTGGAGGCCCAGGAATAGACACCTGTGATAAGCTGTGACCAAAAAAATGGCAGTGATAAGGAAGAGATGTCATTACACACCACTTTTCTGGGCTGCCTCCTAACCTGATGTATCCGTATGTACAGCAGATACCACCCCCTATTAAAATCATCTGTTTTGGTACCATCTTTCTTCACCATATTCAGTATCTCAAGGGCAGCCATTGGTTTTATTGCCTGATGCCAATGCCTAGTGTGTTACCTGAAAAATTAAGTACTCAAGAAATATGTATATTGCAAAAGACTTTCTAAAGGCTGAATGTGGGCAGAATATTATTAGTATTGTTTGTAGTGCAAAGAGACCCTTCTCTTGGTACCTCCTGATTCACAGAAGAACTTTTTAAGGTAAAAACTGTCATCTTGAGCCATTCTCCAATTGTTTTTCATTCCATCTAAGCCCACACTTACTTGGTGGGCATCCACTGTGAAGGCAGCCCCCAGGTCAAGGCTCTGGGGTCTGGGGCAAGGCCTCACAGTCACAGTCCCCTCCTCTTGGTGCTGGTGCTTCCCAGAAGAACCAACCAGTTCTGTGTTTATTCCATCGATCGTGCTGGTCAGATGCACAAGGACCTCTGGAGTCAGTTTACTATTCCCTTCCTTGCTACTCAGTACGAGCTGCTCTTTGAGGAGGCTGATGATATTGTGGGCATTCTTCAGTTTTCCCTGGAGCTTTCTGAACTCAGCCTGAAGGCTACTCTCTCTCAGACCCTCTTTGGCTGCCACAGTCTCCACCATCACCTCGCCCTTCTCCTTGTCTTCCTCGATCTCCCATCCATCAGACATTGCTTCTCCCATCTGCTCTTTCAGCTCTGCATTCTCAAGGCAAAGGCTCAGCATGGTGTTCCTGCAGGAAACACACATAAGTGAAGGCTAGGTCTGCTCCTGACAACAGTTCCTAATAGTACCTCTAACCCACATCTCAGCCCATGATAGATTCAGACACACCCCAGAGCCTAAAGCAATCTGAGACCTACAACAGCTCCCTAATTTTATATACAAGAAAGCCAAGGCTCAGGAAGAGTAACAGACTTGCCCAAACTTCCACAGCTACTTGGTGGCAGCACCATCACTAGAAATCTTGGACTCAAGACATGCAGGCTAGTTTTCTTTACTTATGCCACACAGCTTCATATGTTCTAATTTTTAACAGCCTCTGGAATAAACAAAAGTACTTACTCTGTTAAAAAAAATAAGACCTGTTGTGTAACAAATTAATTGTTATGAATTCTAAAGATCTATTATTTATCATCAGTCGGTTTTAAACCATTGGGACTTAACAACACAGAAGAAATAAATAACACTAATCAGAACTATTAATACAATCAAAATGTACTTAGTTAATTATGTCTTTATGTCCCTTCTTGAGAGCAGGGACTGTGGCTGTCCTATTCACTCTGTATCCCCAGCGCCTACACAAGTGCCTGTCACATAAATCATTCATATTTGTTGAAGAAATAAAATTGATCAAAACAGCTAATTTTCACCAAGCCATTCCAGACCCACTCTTTCCACAACAACAAACTCACACTCGGGTTGAGTGGAAGCAAAGATGGCTTTAACAAGTCTATTCTCTTAACTTCTTTGAGCCTCAGTTTACTTTTATATAAAATAAGGATGGCAACACTTACCTAGTGGAGTTAGCAGATGCTTAAATGACATTGCATATATGGTATGGTTAGATCAAGGTCTGCAGCAGGGAAGTCATTCAATCTCTGCTGTACCAGCTGCAGAGCTGAGAAACCAACAGCAGAATCCCACAAGGTGCTTGTTTAAAAAGCTGTAGAGCTAAGGCCTATGAATCCACATTTGATTTAAGTTCCACCAGTTATTCTTTTTTCTTTTTCTTTTTTTTTTTTTTTTTTGAGACGGAGTTTCGCTCTTGTCACCCAGGCTGGAGTGCAATGGCACGATCTCGGCTCACCGCAACCTCCGCCTCCTGGGTTCAGGCAATTCTCCTGCCTCAGCCTCCTGAGTAGCTGGGATTACAGGCACGCGCCACCATGCCCAGCTAATTTTTTGTATTTTTAGTAGAGACGGGGTTTCACCATGTTGACCAGGATGGTCTCGATCTCTTGACCTCGTGATCCACCCGCCTCGGCCTCCCAAAGTGCTGGGATTAAAGGCTTGAGCCACCGCGCCCGGCCAGTTCCACCAGTGATTCTTAAGCACGCTAAACTGAGAGGCCCTGAGCTAGAGGATGCGCAGGAAATGGGGAACTCACAACCTGAAGGGTCAGCAGTGGGCTATGCACCTAGATTGAATTTCTCAGAATCCAGGAGTCCTGGAACCTAGGGCAGAGCTTGTCTGGTGTGTTTCTGGGAGGAAAACACTTTAGGACATAGGACACAGACAGACAATCTATGAGACACTTTCTCAATAAAGAAAAGGGGGAGAGGTATTTTACCAAAACGGAGATGTGGAATGGGGATAAAAGGGGCACACGTGTATATGGAAAAGAATATTTAATATTATGTTCTAACCTCATATTTTAAAGAAAACTCTCATGTTTTAAAATTACAAACAAATAGAAGAAAAACCCAACAAAACCTTCTTAAAAAGAAGAACAACACATAAGATTCTAACCTCCACCCAACTTACAGTATCAGTGATTCTGTAGGTTGGGTGGAGGGTTGAACAAACCAGTTTCAGGTTAGGCTAGTTTACATATACAAAAATTTAACTAAAATTATATGCTTTAAGTAGAACTTAAGGAAAAAGTTATGATAATTCAAAGCAAAAGAATCAGCACCTAGAATAATCACAAGAATTTTTAAAAAATTGTTTGACAAAGTATATAGTATAGAAGCAAGGTTTAGATGTTAGAAATTGGGAGCCACAGACTATTATGCCATCTTGAGCAAGTCACTTGAAACTTTATAGGCCTGAGTTTCCTTAACTATGAAATAAGGGCATGAGGCTAGATGCCAAGGTCGTCTTCAAAGTGCTAACATTATCCAGGGGAGTTTAAGTTGCATGTAATATGCAGGGAAACAACAGGGCATGATTTAGAAGTTGTGCAGCTGTGCTTTACACAAGCAGTGATGATCATGGTCCTGGGAGTGCATGAATCAATGGGTCAGCCCTACAGTATCGGCATGTGCTCCAAATATCTTTTCACAAAAAAGCCATCAAAGACAGCGTGGCCAACCTGACCAATGAATGAGCTATCTGCTACTTTTGAAAAATTACTAAAGCAGCAGAGATTATTAAAATTGATATTCTATTATTGAAAGACTTCTGAGCAAGAGCTGAGGCTAGGGGGCTTCTATAGAAATCCTCCTCCACTGTGGACTCTTTTAGTTCTGCATACAGAAGTGAAACATATTAGGTAGCAGGGATTCCTTATATGTTTCAGTCAGTTAAAAAGACCAATATCGATCATGTAACAAGGAGGTTTCCACCATAACTGTCATATGTATGACTGACAGATGCACAATAATAGCGGGCATTGTCATATTGAATCAAGACCAGGTTTATTTGAATAACAAAAGGTGATTACCATTAGCCAATATTACTTACTTTTATCTAGAGAATTTGTAGAAATATTAATGCATGAAGCCTGGGATATGGACCAAGTAGCCCCTTGGCAGCATGAATGTCTTGGTCGCAGCAAGGTGAGGCCCTTGGCTATGATGCCTCATGACCTGCAAGCTCCCCTTCTCTGGGAAGAATGTCCTACCTGATGTGAGACACAGAGGAGAATCCTGCTTCCTCAATTTGAGCCTTTAGCTCCTTCAGTTCCTCCTCAGTTTTCCTCTTCTCTTCTAAGTGCTGGTGGAGCTCAGCTCTCAGGTGGAGAATTTCTTCCTGAAGACACCTGTTACTGTCCCCTCCCACTGGGGAAGGAGGGGAAAAAGATGGGTTCTGGGTCTCCACAGTTACCAGACTTTTTTCCAAAGCCACCTTGACGAGCTGAAAAAAAATCATGGTTTGAAGAAGTTAGGTCACTAAAGAGGACCCAAGAAAAACATGAGATTGCAAAGGCAGCTTTCAATGAGGAGGAAAAAAAAAAAAAAAAGCAGATCTAAAATGAACTCCCTACCCAGAACCTCCTTAGACAGGCATAAGGGCCCTGGGAACTGGTTTGGGTGGGAAGGACACACCAAATGAGCAGGAAGAATCTCCCCATGGAGAAGAAGAGAATCCAGAGACAGTGAGGGTGAAAAGCACATAAGAAATTTAAAACAAATGCAAACAGACAAGGTTTAAACAGGACTAGAAGGTGTGAATGCGGCGATTCTTCACTTCCTGAGGAGGCAGAATCCTGAGAGTTTTCTCACAAGTCAAGAACCTTCGTCAGCTCCACAACACTTGAGTGCTGGATGGCAGAGATGATGGCTTAAGATATCAGGGTGCAAAGCCTAAGGCCCTGCCTGTAACTCTGACTCCCTCAAAGGCAACTGAGAGGGAGGACTCAGGGCACTGGGGAGACAGTCAGCATAGTCACAGAATTCGAATAAGGTAGAGCTACAGGGAAGACAACACCAACTGATTTGATCGGCAGAAGAGTCACACTACAGCTACTGAGAGGTGGAGGTGAAGCCACCCTGGCAAGCAGCCAAGCTCACTTTTTGGTTATTATCTTTGTGCCAATGCTGCCAGACAAACTCTCTACAAATCTAAGCATGTGGAAGAAACAGAGGCAGGAACAATTACACAGCACGCTTCTATTTCTTGAGGATACTCTTGAAGTTATTCATCATTGTTTTAATTAAAGCAGATTGTATGGTTTTTCCTCAAATGAGAATATGTTAACTTTTAGACTTTGTTATTGTTCCTTTTGGGCTTATCTTTGGTCTTTTCCCATGTTTTTAAAAGTATAGAAGTCACAATCTGAGTATGATGATCTACTTAACATATGACTGATTAGTGCAAGGGGTTCCTGCCTGTCTGTCCAATATTAATCTTAATACATCCCAATGTCACATTGGCTTCTTTTTCCTCTCAGCGGCAGCATTTGGAGCTTTGACTTAACTTCAGGTCAGTTTTGACCTCTGAATATTCCAGCCCTTCCCCGCAGCTGTTTCTGGGTCATGTTTTCTTTTATCACTATAAATATTGCGACTTGTAATTGTCACTTATAAATTTATTCTGGCTATACTGGATCATTCCCCAATTATCCAAGTCATCCAAATATTTGATGTGCATATCCACAAATGATGTAGTGGCCCCTGATGGGGGATGATTTGTAGAATTAATTATATGTTTTATATTCCATTCAGGTCACCAATACATTGAACAGAGCAGGGACCAAAGCAGCTAACATGGATCAATGACTGACAAAGCTTCTTCGGTTGACACAAAGCCTCTGACTTTTGCTATTCCCCACCCATAACAAAGCATGCTCAAATCTAGGTCACAGGATTGTGGTAGCATTGATTCACAGTTTACATGTGTAATGGTGTTCAGTAGCATAGCAATTCAAGTTGTGAAGAGATGTAAGCCCATGTCAAAGAAGAAAGATTCTTACACAAAGCCACTCAGTTCCCAGGCACCCAATCTTACTTGGGCTATGTGAGCCTAAGATTTGGCAGGCTCCTGGAAATGTCTGTCTCTAAGTCTCTGCTGGGAGGCTTCATCAGGCTGGTGGCCATCTCCAATATGTGCCCCCCAGCATTTGTGACAAAATAAAGGAAGGGGGACCAAATGAAACCACTTCTGAAAGCTTATGATCCCACCCCTCATTTACACTATGAGATGTTATCATTCTATATAAACGCTTTCCAACTAACTTAACTAAAATGCACTTTGCCATTAGTCTTGAATGTGGGCACAGCATTATTCTTTTCTAAGTCTTAAGGGTTCCTTCAGCTTAAAAATAATGTCTAACTTTAATGAAGTTTACTCATTTTTAAAGTGCCTTCTGGGTATATGTTATCTTGTTCTGTTGTTTCAATATACCGATTTTTTGAAAACGAAAAAATTCTGAACCATGAATGTTAACACCAGAAAAACCTTCAGGTACATCTGATCTAATTTCTCACTTTAAAGTGAGAAAACCAAACATTGCCTAGCGATCTGATATTTACCCAGGCTAATTTGTGTTTTCATATTTCCATCTCAAAGTGGACTTTATTTGACTAAGTTAAAGTTTTAAATGTAAACGCCTGAAAAGTAATTCAGGATCTAGACTTTTCATTAGTTCTGATCATGTATGAAAAGCAAATATTTCTTCCAGTATTTGTAGTGATAGTGTGAATCCATTAGGTGTATTTTTAATTATAGCTCTCATATTGGTTATTTTTTTCACATTTTCTAACTCACTTGTGATATTGCTTCCACACAATTCAGCTTTTTGTGCACTGGGTTTCCATTTACCCTGCAAAGGCCTATGTGCAAACCTGATAGCCTGTTTGAATGGCATTGTTTTGTTTTCACGCTATTGCTTCATATCTATCACAATGTTTAGTCAGTTGCCATCATTAAGGCATTAAAAATTAGCTTTTCTCAAATGTTCAGCATCACTAATCATTAGGGAAACGCAAATTAAAACCATAATGAGATATCACCTGACACCTGATAGAATGGCTTTTATCAAAAAGGTGAATGATACGTGCTAGAGATAATGCAGAGAAAAGGGAATACACACATTGTGGACAGGTATGTAAATTAGTACAGCTGGTGTGGAAAAAAGTATGGAGTTTCCTCAAAAAACTAAAAATTGAATCTACCCTATGATCCAGTAATCCCATTTCTGGGTGTGTATCCAAGGGAACTGAAATCAATATGATAAAGGTATGACTGCACTCTCATGTTCATTACAGCATTATTCATAATAGTCAAGATAGAGAACCAACCTAGGTCCATCAGTAGATGAATGGGTAAAGAAAAGGTGGCAGATGATACACAATGGAATACTATTTAACCTTAAAATGTCAGAGGATAGGTCCTGTCATTTGTGGCATGAATAAATCTGAACGACATTATGCTTAGTGAAATAAGCCAGGCATAGAAAGACAAATGCCATACCATCCCACCTATATGTGGAATCTAATAAAGTGGAACTCATAAAAGCAAAGAGTAGAATGGTGGTCACTAGAGGCTGGTAGAATGGGGAGGGAGAGTAGAGGGAGTTGTTGATCAAAGGTATGGACAGAAAGAACAGGTGTGAAGATATATTGCATAGCAAGGTAACTCTAGTCAATAATAATACATATTTCAAAATAAGAGTGAATTTCCAATGTTTAACCATCAAAAATGATAGGTAGGCAAGGTGATGAATATGTTAATTACCTTGGTTTAATCATTCCATATTGTGTGTTTGTGTGTATGTATGTGTGTGTGTGTGTGTATATATATATATATATATATATATAATTGTATCATATCTCATAAACGTATACAATTATGATTTGTCAATCAAAAATAACTAATTTTTTAAGTAGTTTTTTAAAAGTTTATCATACGTTGTCTACTAACATCTGTTCTTTGTATTTGAAACTTTTTTTTTTTTTCTTTAAGAGGTGGGGTCTCATTATGTTGCCCAGGCTGGCCCTGAACTCCTGGGCTCAAGAGATTCTCTTACCTCAGCCTCCCGAGTAGCTGCAACTATAGGTCTGCAGTATGTGGGCTTGAATATTTATTCTTGATTAACTTTTTCTCCATTACAAAAGTTCAAATAAAAAATGCAATGGTTGATTACTCTAGTTTCTTTCACAGCATTTCATAGGTACTTATAGATCTTACATCTGCTTGAGAATAGAATTTTGGGTGAGATAATCTAGGGAAGATTATTATCATGGCCAGACTTGAGGCTTCCTGAGGTGGCTGAGTCCAAAAAATAAGGAGGAGGCAACTTGTATTGGCCAAAAAGTGATTCTCACCTTGGAAGAAAGATAAGGTTGGATGTGTCTATTAGGGAAAGTGTACGAACACTTGGAGTAGGAAGGGACCTTGGTGTCAAGCAGAAGTTTAACATTCCAAGGACACAGCAAGGAGAAGCTCAAAATCTATCTTAAGGGACCATTTTCCTGGAAACAAGCAAACAAATTTTGAGAATCTGGACACAAAAACAGTTTATGGCAAAGTGATCTTTATTTAATTGGTAGCAGGAGAGTCACAGCCTCAAACTCCAGAAAAGATGAAGTAAATTTCCAATGACTTCATACACCAAGATTCCTCCTGCCCAAAGCTGAAGTTGTATCTTCAAGGAAAGGTGATTAAAAGGAAAATGGTGCTTCCCCAAGCGATTCTTCCATCCGGCAGGCATCTACTTTGTCTATCATGAGTCAAGCCCAGATTCAAAGGCTTTTTAACTGATAATTACACTAAGCAGCTCCTATGCCAAGTAATGTGGCAAGTATTGTGAGGGAAATACAAATCCCCTAAAGTAAAAAGTTCATTCCAAGGTGGGCTCACCTTCTCAAAATGGGGGCTGGTCAGATTCTCCATGCCAGGCTACAGGGAGGAAGGCTGAAGAGGAAGCACTCTACAAATCAGTTTGCCTACAATTGAGAATTAGAGCAAATGTCTTGCAATACCAGGAGTACGTCAGACCCTATCAATCAGAATCTGACTGTCTTCATCTCTGTGTCTCCTGTTCACTTATTCTAAGTCAATCCTGTCCCACAGTCATTATAACCATCAGTGACCAGCCAGCCTCCCAATCTAGCTGTCTTCGAGTAGACATTTGTTCATCCTGCAGGCCCCTCTCCCTCACCCAAGATCCTCAATGAAATCAGAGAGTGAGGGCAGAGGGATCTGTCAGGAGGGACAGAGATGTACATAAGTCAAGTCCCAGCCATGGGTAAGGAGGACTCAGGAGAAGCTGTTGAAGCAGAGGAGTGGAGCTCATGCAAGCACTCAAGGGAGAAGGGAAGGTCAGGTACAGCTATAGCAACAAGAAGGTGATCCTACTGTAAGGTAAAGAAACTGCTGAAAACATGATGTATCCTAGACAACCACTCAGGTCCCCAAATGCCAAATCCCAAAAAATCTGAGGACGTTCACTTGGGCTCTTCTTATTGGTTAATTTGATGTCTCCTCTTTTTTCTAGGCAGAAGACATACAGGTAAACCCAGAAAGCCTCATTTCTTGAGAAAGCCTCATTTTTTTGAAGAGTTTTCCTAATAGCACCAAGAAAGCTATCACTGAAAAGTCCAGCTGCTTGTGCAGAATATCTACCAATGATTCACTTTCTCCTTAAGAATCATAGGCACAGCCCATCTAGGAGATGAATTGCTAAATGGCACAGACGAAGTGGAGACATTATAGGAGTTCCAGTGATGGCTTTGTGATCAGGATGGGTGAGAATATCCGCTCTTGTAACATGCTGGTTACATCTTCACTGACGGTGGGTGGAAACAATGTTTCAGCCTTGAGTACCAAGCTCTGAGGTTTGACAGGAGATTGCTGTGGAAGTACCATCTACTGATCATTGAGTCACCGTGACCTCAGTGGTTTGTCAGGTTGCATAAGGTTCTCTTTGTATACTGAGATCTCACTGAGAAAGATCCGTGCTTTGGAAGCATTCCAATCCACTTGGAATTTCTCCCCAAGCAGGTTCTCTGCCCTGCCACCTCCCCAAGCAGCCCTTCAATGACTCTCTGTCTTCTATGGAGCGTTTCGGTTACAAAAAGCCCAAAGGGAATGTGTCCATTGTCTTGCACATAAAAACTCTTTTGAAGCTATAGCTACAGAGAATAAACAGGGGCAAAGATGGGTAGGACGAGGCAGGAAGCAATAAAGAAATAGACACAATACAAACCAAAGGGTGATTGGAGAGAAAAATGGAGTGAAGGCGTGGGTTGGAAAGGCAGCTGGGAAGCTCAAGAACAGGAAGATGTCTGAGAAGAGCTTTGTATGAAAAGATATCTTCTCACTCTAGGTCCACAAGGGCTGCAGGGGACCATCGGACCTCAGGAGGGCTGTGAGCCGTCCACCCTGGAAACCCCAGACCCTGACGCTGACTTACTTGCTGGTGACGATTGTGCACGGCCTCCTCCTCAATACTGTCGGTGAACTCAGTGCTTGCATCTTCGGTGTCATCCCCTGCAGCCCCACCTGGAAGTAAGTGCAGAAAAGAAATGTGATTCCCTTCACAGATGGCTTCCAGAGAGCAGGTAAAATTACACTCCTTCTGCTAGCCACCTCTGATTTCTTCCTTTCTGCATATACGTGGGGAAGAAATTCTCCCTAGCCAGCAGGGCTGGCAAGAAAAATAGAATCCAGCTTTCTTTTTGTATCACAGGCACTTTCTTACTGATCCTCAAGCCTGATCCTCACAGCATCAGCTGACTTTGCCTGCACAGACCCAGTCCTAAGGAGCCGACTGTCAGATGCACTGGTTACCCGCCTCCCATGTCAAGAAAGCCTGAATGATCCCCACCGCCTGGCTACATAACAACTTTCTCTTCCAGAACATGTGTCCGGCATGCCTAACCCTTTCCCCACTGACTGCCTGGAGATTAGAGCTGCTCTGATTCTCTCAGCAGTATCTGTTGTTGGGATCCGTTATGCATAGGGTGACAATCTCTCTGAAGAGCTTCCTTTTGGGGGTCCTGTGTCCTAGTAAGGTTCCGGTCTAGTCAAGATTCAAAACACCCAATGATTCAGCTGTTCCCTAATTATGTCCTCTCACCTTCCTTCCTCCTCACCTGTCACAAACTCTTATTCTACGTAGACATGCTTTGCCTGAAGGGTTTCTTGCACTGCTTTATCGACATGGGATTTAACCCATCCTTTCATTCTCCAAAGATGGACACAACCACCCTAGGGCCCAAACATCTACACCTCACTCTAAGGTACAAGTAGCTGCCGTCTGTGGTATGGGCAAAGGTCTAGGGCAGCACTGACTAAGAGAACTTTCTGCAATGACAGCAATGTTCTGTGCCAGTGTTGCCCAGTCAGTGGACACTGTCATATACGGCTACTGAGCATTTGCAATGTGGGTGGTATAGCCCACATTTCAAAGCATTTTATTTTATTTAAATTAACATATTTAAACGGCTACACGTGGCTAGTGGCTACCCTAGTGGACAGCACAAATCTAGGGTGCTTCTTCCTCTTTATATTGGTTAAAATGAAGACTATTCATATAATTTAAGACCAAGAACTATGTTTTACATTACTGTATTTTTCAGGAAGTGTAGAAATTTAGTATGGTTAATTTATCAAAGAAAATTTACTACAACACTCGCTGTGTTTTATAGAACCTGCCCAACTTAAAGAATCTTGAAATCTGGTTCTGATCCTAGCCCCAGCAACCAACCAGTTACAACTCCACTTCTGGCCACTGATTAACCTGGACCTCAAAGAGTTCAGGTGTTGTGTCCAAGGTTACACAACTAGCCCTGACAAGAGCTGTGCCAACAAGTCAAGTCTCTGGATTCTTAGACAAAAGACACTCCACTATTTCTTTTGGTGACAAATCAGATCTTTATCTTTGCTTCTTCCTCCAAGACCAAAGAACCTTCTGTTGAGTTCAGAAATCTAGGCATGAAAGGCTCTGCTTGAATCATGAGGATTCACTACCCAATGCAGATGAGGTAAGCAGGGGCAGTTCACATCGACGGATTTGCAATGGCCCAGGCTGATCTCATGGAAGTGCTGAGAGGTCGTAAGTGAGCTGTGATAACAGCTTAGGTTTCCTGATCTACACCATGAACTTTGTGTTAACTTTGGATTAAGGGAGGGTCCTGTTCAGTGAAGCCCTGTCCACAGGAAGGCACCTCTAACACTCAGCATCGTAAGAGGTCTGTGGCAGACAGTGTACAATAGGAATTTCCAATACATATTCATTCAAACCAACCCCAGAACCATCTCACTCAGGATCCTAGCTGAGTAGAGGTGTATGGACACATTCCTTAATCTTTGGCTGCTTTATAAACTTACTGAACCCAGGATGCTAATTTACCTAGGACTTCCATATCATGTTATGCTTACTTTGGAAAATCTTTCCCTGTACAACAGTAGCAATCACAATCGTTTATGTTTTTCCAGCAAAGGAAATAAATTGTCTCACTCAGTGACAGAATTCTCTCTCAGCAACAGAAAACACTGTTCACATTGTTTCTCTTTTGAACACAGGGGTAGGACCCTGTAGTTGAAGAAAGCTCAGCTCAATGAGGTCAGGATCCTCATCCCCCTACCATCGTTGCTGGGCTCTGTAGCCATGCGGGGTCCACATCCCAGGGCCATTCCTGACAGGTTCCAGAAGTGGGGATTAGAAAGGGTGACTGTCACTGGTCTTGAAGGTTTTTATCTGATACTTTCTGCCCTCCACTTATCTTTGGCAGCCTTTCTGGTATCCCGTCTGCATTCTTAACGTTCCTTCTTATTTCACTTAAAAGCAGGATGCTATGGTTCTGATCTCATAAGGAATTAGGTGGAGACAAATAAATGCTCATCTCATCTCAACACTCTGCTACACAGGGGCTTTGTTTTTTCCCCTTCTTTCTCTTTTAAGCTAGCTCACAGTCCTCTTTCATTGTGGCAGCTTTAAGGGTTGTTCAGCCTTCTACCAATTTGAATTAAAATGCTGAAATGTTTTTTTCCATGTTTGAGGGATAAAGCTAAAAAATTAATAGAAGATATGGGAATAAAAGAGTAAATTATCTCATATGAGGTCCTGTATATAAGTTTACATTAGACATCTTTTACCATTGTCTGTTTTTTAAAAAAATGAGAAGAACTTCTCTTTTGAGGTGATACCCTTTTCTAAACTTTTACAGCACAACAAAACACTATCTTCAGAACTAACTTGGAATACTTTGAATTTCTAATTTAAAGGTGCCTCTGTTTTTATATTGATGACTCTTCCACTTACTTTTTGATAAAATACAAAATAGTCTGCCACCTGTCGATTCTCTAAAAGCTAAGAATCTGTTCATTAAGATTAACTTGTTTCTTTGAGATTAAGTTTCACATGTTAGACTGGCAGTTTTATTAAAAAACTTTTATTTAAGGCTTTAACAAAAGTTCTCAACTTGTGGTTCTTAGAAGTTTCTAGGCTCTGAACAACACAAAATGGAGGTGACACCAAAATGTCCCTTGCTTAGATTTAGAAAATTATTTTCTATCAGCTATCTAAAGTTACAAAGTACACAAAAATAAGCCTTTAAAACATAAGACCACAAAATCCTTGGGTGAAAATTTCAGCATTATGCAAAAATAAGGTATTCTTATCACTGAGGCAAAAATCCATACTTTTGTAGAATTTTTAAATGGAGTATAGCATAATAATCAAGAACATGAACTATGGAGACAGACTGTCTAGATTTGAATTGTGCTTTTTTCGTTATTTATATCACTTTAGGCAAGTCATAACCTTTCCATAACTAAGTTTCTTCATTTAATTAGGGTTAAGAGCACTACCCACTCCAAACTGCTGTGAACTTTAAAGGGTTTGCTGATTTTGAAGTGCTTAGAACAGCACTTGGTACACAGTGTGTACTCAGTAAACATCATCCTTAAACAATGTTATTATTATTGTTATTGTTAGTAAACTGAAGTGGTCCACCGGCTTGTAAGTTGAAGGCTGAGAAAGCTGACGGCCACGGAATCTAAATATCATCAGCAGAAGGAAGTCTTATACCTGACGCTATTATTTGGATGATCTTGATTGATTCTACCTACACATCTTCATTTCTGAATACTTGTTTCCCCAGCAGGAGGCCTGAAATAACACTTGTTGCTCTCTGCCTTTCAGGACATTTAAAAAGTAAAGAGCTGTCAGTAAGGTAGGCTGAACTCTTTGGAACAGGGGCCTTACAAAAAGGATTAATCATCATTAAATGATAATTGTCTTAAAACTCCAACATGTATAAATAAGCCTTGGGGGAAAATTCACGACTTGTTTTTGTTGTTTTGTTTTGTTTTGCTTTAGAGATAAGGTCTCACTACATTGCCCAGTCTGGTCTTGAACTGCTGGGCTCAAGGGATCCTCCCGCCTCAGCCTCCAAGTACCTGACTATAGGTGTGTGCCACCACACCTAGCTCATGACGTATTAATTCTTGAGTAATGAGTCCAAACCGGGTGGAATCAAGACCATTTCCCCCAAATTCTACTCTGCAGTCATTATTATTTCCCTTTAGGCCATTAATATGGGATCAACAGAAAAGGAGTGATTTTTTCCATATAGTTACTTAGAACATAGCCAGAGGTCATTTTATCAATTTTAAAAGGTGATCTGAAGAACCAAAAAGGTCAAATCATAATCTAAAATACTTTTGTGGGTATGAAATCCCACTAGAATTCTGGAAAGAGTTTCTACTTCTCTAAAAGGGTAGTTATTCAATGTAACTACAGTTTTCTATCCTTAGAAGCATGAATAAGTTGGCAGTGCTATGTTCTTCCCTTTGGTACTGTGCCCTTGTGTCTGACACTCTCAGCCCCATCTCACTTTCACTCCCAGGTACTCTGCCATGAGTTCAAGATAAGAACGCTCATGTTTCCATGGCATGAACCAACTACTGCTGACTTTAATATTACGGTGCTCTAAGAGAGAATCAAGTAAAAGAGGCCTCCTATCAAACCACAATTTCACCTGCACACATGCCCCTCAGGATCCTAAGAAAATTATTAAGATTCCATATAGTCCTTCACAGTTTTTGTTAAGAAATAAAATTCTCTAGATAGATGCTGGTTGGGGAACAAAGTAGTAAAAAACTGCTCTCTGCAGTCAAACTCCTTAGGGCATATCTTTGTCTTTAAATTGCAACATCTCTTAAGTCGCCTCAGGGCTTTCCAGCTCTTATTTTGGAAAGCAGCTGTTTTAAGTGACTTGAAAAGGCCAAATCATAATCTAAAATACTTTTGGGGGCATGAAATCCCACTAGAATTCTGGAAAGAGTTTAGGGTAATTCTTCAATTCAACTACAGTCTTCTATCCTTAGGCTAACCAAGGCACAGGTAAATTAGGACTCCTGGGCAGGCCAGGAGACATGACCTATACCTATTCTGTGATGCCATAATTCTGTAATGTCAAATTATTCCCGCTCATGGTCTCTTTTTTTCTTTGAAGAATGCAAGAAACGGGCTTTCTAAGAATGTTTAGAGATAG